TTTGGAAGCATAATAACTGGAGACGCCTTCGGCTCGGGCGCCCGATATGAGGGGATTAAAATTGGCCGCTGATGTCAGCGCCCGATTTACATGCAAAACTAGTTTAAACTGATTTTTCTCTTAAATTACTTATCCAAATCATGATCCGATTACACCATTAAATTCGTTGCAATTAAATCTTCAAAACAAGACCACACTTGGATATATTCCAACGAAAAAAATTAGCTTATTATTGATTTTTTTAAAAAAATGTTGCACGATGTTTCACCAGGTATATCGGAATTGTCACACTAAGTAGATCGAAAATGTTTCACTCGTTTAAATCAGGTGTTGTTTCACCTTATATAAAAACAATGTTTCAGCAAATAGCGAAAGAATGTTTCAGTTCACTGCAACATTAGATCTATACATAGTGAAACATTGTGACTACACTAGGTGAAACATTTTTCAATGGAACAAAAAATAAACCAAATTCCCTTAATAGGGGGCTTCCAAAATATGTGGGTTTTTTGTTGCAATGTAATATTTCGTTCACTGCAACATTAGATCTATACATAGTGAAACATTGTGAGTACACTAAGTGAAACATTTTTGATGGAACAAAAAATAAACTAAATTTCCTTAATAGAGAGTTTCCAAAATATGTGATTTTTTGTTGCAAAAGAGTATTTTAATTCATTGCAACATTAGATCTATAAATAGTGAAATATTGTAAATACACTAGATGAAACATCTTTTGTGAAAAAAGGGAGGAAGAAGTGGGTGGGACCACGTGGGGGAGGGGCGCGCAGGGGGAGCGCCCGATCCGGCTCCCCCCGCGCCGGTCGCCCGGGGCGAATCATTTTCGATAATAACTAACTTGAAACCATGTTTCAATACACCATACTGAGAGAATATCGAAAATGACTTGAGTATCCGAAAATATAAGGGAGTTTGGACGGATAAAACATTTTATAGAACAATGAATCTGAATTAAAAGTATATGCTAATTCATTATCCTATGAAGTGTCTCATCCATCTAAAATCCTTTATATTTTGGGACGGAAGGAGTACAATAATAAATTAGTTACATGTGTCATAAATTAGTTACCTGGCAGATAAATTTGAACTTTTCATCAAGATGATTAGGAAACAAAAACACTCAATTGTGACTTCATGGCAAAAGTTTGGGCTGAAATCGACACCGGGTAGTAACTTGAAATGCATGAGGATTGAACTTGGTTTTTCTCTCTCTAATTTGGGTATTCGATTTCAAACTTCTAAATAAAATTTGTTTTGCTAGTCCAAGTTCCTATATACTTGGGCTCGTTGAAACACAGGTTTGAAAAAAAAAATACAGGAACAAGAAAAAAAACTGAGGATTTTTTTTTTCATGCGTTCACGGCCTCTTTAATTCATAGATTCATAGGATTCAAATTCCTATGGATTTTTTTTCTACATGTCCCTTTGATTTATAGGAAAGAAAGGGAACTTTCCATAGGATTGTATTCCTATGCTTCACATTTCATAGGAAAAATAGCAAGAGGTGTCACCTCTTTGTGAACTTTCTTTGCTTTTCCCATAGCACTATCAAAGGACTCCTATTGTCTTTCCTGTGTTTGTTGATTCCTGTAGGATTTGAGAAACCTACTACTTCAATTCCTGTGTTTTTCCTATTTCTGTGTTTTTCCTATCCTGCGAATCAAAGGGGCCCTGAAACTAAATGCAAAGTTTCATGCGTTTCTCCCTTAGAATCAACAATGAAGGAATATTTCCTACCGTTTTCCTGCGATCAATTCCTGTGAATCAAAGGCTGCTATAGGCCTACAGTGAATGAATCTATAGGAACTCGAATCCTCCATTTTTTTTCTTTGTTTTTCTTCATTTCAAAGGGGCCCTAAAACAATGATATTTTCTTGGGCTGAAGCCCATGAGCATGGCCAGCACACAGATTAATGGAAATAGTACATCGAGGTCTCTCATCTTACACTGAATTACAAAATACCGAAAAATCAGATATATGGAATCCCTCAACTTATAAAACCAAGTCACTCAATTTGGATCCTTAGATGATACTGTCCCCGGTTTTATCCGACATGGCAGTTGAGTCAACGTGGGAACCACGTGGACTCCACATGTCAAGGTGACCACGTCATCACCTTCTCTCTTTCTCCTCTTCTCTCTCTTCCTCGTCTATCTAACTTTTCTTGTCGTCATCTAGGTGGGCCGGCCGGCGATGGGCGACACGGCGACGCTGGGCGGGGAGAAGCGGCGGGTGCGGAGGAGGTTGCGGGGCGAGGCGGAAGAGGAGGTGGCCCACGGCAAAGACGCTGTGAAGAAGGGTGGCAGCGAAGAGGAGATGGGCGGCATCACTTGCGGAAGAGTCAAGAAGCTTGAGAGTAGGGGCGGAGCCAGGTGTGGGGCAGCTTGGGCCCGGGCCCCACACTTGGCAGAAAAAATACCAAGGAATTTACTAATTTTTCTATTAAAATTCATTCAAGAAGTTCATACTCTAGTGATTAAGCCCTACTCTTGACATAATCCTGGCTCCGCCCCTGCTTGGGAGAGAAATGGGGAAGGGCAAGGTGCATCCCTCGCTGTCACCGACGGTGCTGGTGGGTGGTGGCGATGGCGGTACTCAGGGCGGAGGTGAAGGAGGTGCTCATGTTGATGTGGTTGTCGTCATCGTCGATGACGAGGTGGGGGAGGCGGACAAGGAAAAGGGAAAGGGTGGAGGGAGTGGAAAGAGCAGTGGCCAATGCGAGCGCGTGTGGAGAGGGAGGAAATGACGAGGCCGGTGGTGAATGCGCGAGAAGAGGGAGGAGGCGAGGAGGCCGACGGCGAGCGCGCAAGGAGAGGGAGGAGGCGAGGGCGGCGAGAGGGGTTGGGAGGCCAGTGAGCTTGCCCACTCCCCTGGGGCGAGCTGCTTCCTGTCGGCGGTGAGGAGCTTTCGGTGGGTGACCCCCTCCCCTGGGCCGGTGTTGGCTTGGCGAGCAGTACGCTCGGGACGCGGCCGTTCCAACGCTCCCGCGCTGCTGCACGAGGGCCGGCTGTCTCCCTCCTCTACCCTTCCTCCCTGCCTGACGGAAGAAAGAGATGAAGAAAGAGAGAAAATAAAGAAGTGGATCTATGTGCCACACAACGTAAAACCACTTTCGAATTGGTTCAGGGGCTAAAGTATTCGCTTTAATAGTTAAGGATACCTGGTTTTATAGCTGGAGGATGAAAACTAAGACCAAAAGCAATATTTTTTGGAGGAGGTAAAGTAGACTTACCCTTTTCTTTTCTTATACTAGTATTTTTTCTTGCCTATTTGTAAAAGGAATAAGTTCACCGGAGGTCCCTCAACTTAACAGCGAGATTTTTTTGAGGTCCCTTAACCACAAAACCAGAAATGTGTACCCCTAAACTCACACAAACCGTTCAAAGGAGGTCCCATGGCAGTATATGTGGGTGGTTTCGCTGACGTAGCATCCTAGTTAGCAAAAAAAATTTTAAAAGTATGTGGGGCCCACATGTCAATAGCACTTTTTTTTTCTTTGCTTTTCTTCTCCTCTTCTCTTTCTCTTCTTCTTCACTGAGTGAGGCCGGCGGTCCACTAGCAAGCAATCTTGGTGGTCGTCGCGCGCTAGCTCGTCACACAGATGGAGCAAGAGCAAGTGCTAACCCAGGAGAGCAATAGTTGCACCTGCAGCAGCAGCAGCAACGACGCGAGCTCGGCCGCCTGCAGCTCGCTCAACGCGTCGTCGCCGAGCTCCATGGACTCCGGGAGCGCCGTTGCCGCCGGCAGCGGCAAGAAGCGGCCGCGTAGACGCTGGCGGCGGAGAGGGCGGAGCAGCGATGGGCGGGCAGCGAAGCGAGCGCGGCGGCGGGTCCGCGCGGCAGCCGAGCGGCAGCAGGCGAGCGCGGCCTGCGAGCGAGCGGACGAGCACGGCGGCGGGCGGAGCGAACGAGCACGACGGTGGGCGAGCGGACGAGCACGGCGGGGAGAGCGTGTAGGACTTGTCGACGGAGAGCGTGTAGGACTCGTCGACGGCGGGGCTGAGCGGGACGTCGGGGTCGGAGACGGAGAGCGCGATGATGCGGACGGGGACGCGGAGAGGGTGTAGTTGGCAGGGGGAACCAGCGGTGCGTGGCGCTTGGCGCGGATGAGGATGGCTCGGCTGACGACGAGGACGATGATGGCTCGGCTGGCGGTGTAGGCCCGCGGAGCTCGCCCACCGCCGCCACGCTCCTCCTTCGGCCACCTCCGCCGTTACGGCCCCCTCCTCCGCCCGCCGTCCGCTCTGCTCGGCCATGTGAACAAGACCACCGCGACGAGCAGCCGCCTCAACGACGCGGCCGGCGGCGCAACCACAGAGGACGACGAGGCGGACACGGAGGACCACGGTGGCCACGCGCGGCCGCCGCCGCTCTCCCCTGCCGCCCTTGCCTGCCTCGCCGGCCGCCCCTGCCTGCTTAGCCCGCCGCTGCCGCCGCTCTCGCCCACCGCCACCGCGTTCGCCTACCACCACCGCGCCTGCCTTCTTCGCCTGCCGCCGCCGCCGCCGCGGCCGCTCTCGCCAGCCGTCGCCCCGCGCGTCTCGGCCCATCGAAGAAGACGAGAGAAGAGAAGAAAGGGGAAGAAACAAGGGATGTGGGCCCATATCGTTTTCTCTCTTACATGTGGGCCCCACGTACTTTATTTATTTATTTTTGCTTACTAGGATGCCACGTCAGCGAAACCACCCACATATACTGCCATAGGATCTTGTGTGCACGGTTTATGTAAGTTTAGGGGTACACATTTCTGATTATGTGGTTAATGGGTCTCAAAAAATCTTGCTGTTAAATTGAGGGTGCTCCGGTGAACTTATTGGTTTATAAAATAGTTGAGTTTTTTTTGTAAAAGGGCCAAGTAAAAATTTCACTCGATGGGCCTCCCACGACCGCGCACGTGGGCTGCTTGACCCATTCGCGCGCGCGCGCTAGTGCTCGCGTAGTGACTAGTCCTACTACTCCTGCTACCCATGTGCTCGCTCTCCTAACACCAACCAGATCCACGAACGCCACACGAAACGCCTCGCGTCGCCGACCGCCGCCGCCGCTCGCTCCCAAGCTGCCAACGCCGCCGCCGCTCCCAGCTACCTACCTCCCGCGCGCCGATCGCCTCCGCCGCCGTAGACCTCCCTCCCTCCTTCCCTCGCTGCTTCCGCCTCGATCCCGACCTCTCCCGCCGCCGACGCCGCCGCCTCGCATTCTCCCTCGCCGCCGACTCCGCCTAGGCGGCTAGCTAGGCCTCGTGGCCGCGCGGCGGCGATCGCCGCTGTTAGCTAACTATCCCCCATCCCCTCCTAGCTAGGGCGAGCGAGGGAGGTCCGGGGCGGCTTGGATCACGCCCGGGTGGAGCCGCCCCGCCCCCCTACCCCACGTCCTGGGCGGCGTTGACCTTTCATCCGATCCCGCGGCCGAAATGGTAAGTCGATTTTGTGCTCGGTCGGTTTCGCCTACTGTTTCCGCGGTGACTTGAGTAGTGGCGTGCTTGGGGGATTTGGGTGCTGGAAATGCAAGCTTAGTAAGGGGGTGGTCTCGCGGGTTCTCGTAGCGGAAGCTCTTGTAGTTCAGTAGTTGTAGTTGTTGCGCAGTTCAATTGGGCTCAATGCGTGTTCTGATTGGGCACCGGTTGTGCTGACGAAACCGGTGGGAAACGTTAGGTAGGATCTCTGCAAGATAAACTGATTGGAATAGTCGCGCATTGTTAGGAGGGTTCTCCATTCTTGCTGTGATGGTACAATGTGGAGAGGTTCGAGCTAAATTAGGGGAGTAAGAGCGTGATGAGCGAAATCTTGGTGTGCTGGACATCTTAAGGACTTGGAAATGTTAGTGCAATGGTTGAAGCTTTATTTATATGCTTCTTGTGAGGGTACTATGCTGAGTTAATGGGCTATAAATTGGATGTTTGTGGGATAAATGAGCACTATTGCTTCGTTTGTTGTTCTTTTGAAAATAAATGAGCTTGGTATTGATAGGTCGCAGCTGGGGGTCATGGGTACAATTACATTTATTGGACATGTTTTCTTGCGGACTCTGTTGAGAAGTTGAGGCTAATGGAACGTGATATAGATCTTACGTGTGTGCTAGTATCTCTTGATAACCAGGAGCTTTATAATCTCTTTTGCAATCCATTTCTTGAAGAGTTAATTTGTTATGCAAAATGGGCACTCAAAATTTGGGATACAGGCTAACAGCACTTTCTGCAATATTTTCTATATCAGTTCACATTTATTTTGTGGTGACTAGTGCATGAAGTTGGGTAAATACTAATTAAAAAATCTTGATGTTGTACTTGCAAGTCATAGCATGGCAGAAGCGCTGAACTAGCGAGAGATATTTTGTCAGTAACTTCTGAGATTTTGTTACTGTATTTTTTTTTCACTCGGTTTTGTTCAACTCAGATTACCATGTCATTAGTTCAGCACCATTAGCCTTATTCATGCACCAATGAATATTCTGTTGCAGGCATCCAAAGTCCGCTTTACTGTGGGTTCTAATGTTTGGGTTGAGGATGCTGATGTGGCTTGGATTGATGGGCTGGTGGAGCAGGTCACTGGGGATGAACTAATTATAAGGTGCACTTCTGGGAAGAAGGTTGGTTGTTAGATGCACAATAACATACATTGCCCACCCAAAGTGGCATTTTGAGAATGCATGTAGTCCAAAGATGCTGCATCATTTTCATTCATGCTTTATCAAGGCTATTGCACTATTTCCCCCCTATATGATTTTTGTACCAGGTTGATTAGTTTAAGCTTGTCTGTGAATTTGTTGTGCATTTAGTGGTTAATTGTATTGAAGATTCATAGCTAAAATAGTAATAAATTGATGCATGCAATGGCATGCTTTATATTTCTGTTACAGGTTACTGCAAATGTATCAAGTGTCTATCCCAAGGACGCAGAAGCAAAGCGCTGTGGTGTCGAGGATATGACGAGACTAGCTTATCTACACGAACCAGGAGTTCTCCATAACCTAAAGTCTAGATATGGGATGAATGAGATATATGTAAGATAAATTGTGCAACACATTAACTCTTCCTTGTGCCATTTAGTTAATTCATCATTATAGCCTCTATTTTGTTTGATCTTACTGATTTGTAGGTTGTATTTGCATCATTCATACATGTTCTCTAGGGTGTAGGTTGTCACTGGAATTGTTTTAATCAATTCACCCCCTGTATAACTCTTATGCTTCATACATGAATTTGAAATTTTTTACTTGTGTTTAGTTTCTACATTACATGAATATATCGTTTGCAATGCTCTTCATGCTTTAACTTGTTTAATGGATTAAAGTGCTAATTCGATAACGTCTTAACTGCTCTAATGAATTATTGTCCTCCCAGACATATACAGGCAACATATTAATAGCTGTGAATCCATTTCAAAGACTTCCTCATCTGTATAACAATCATATGATGGAAATTTACAAAGGAGCAGGATTTGGTGAGCTGAGCCCCCATCCCTTTGCCATTGCAGACCGTGCATATAGGTTTGTTTTCAGCAAACAAAAGTGCCTTTAGTATGTTTTGCTTGAATTCATGTATGTATCTTAAATTTCTACTGTGCAGGTATATGATGAATTATGGTGTCAGCCAAGCCATATTAGTGAGTGGTGAAAGTGGTGCTGGTAAAACAGAAAGCACTAAAATGCTTATGCAATATCTTGCTTTTATGGGTGGCAAAGTTCAATCGGGTGGACGGTCAGTGCAACAACAAGTGCTGGAGGTGAGAAATCCATTAGCACTTTTACTTCCCACTTATTAGTTATGTTTCTCTTATGCCTCTCAAATATCTTAAGAGACTGTCAAATAATGTATATCAGTATATGCATATTATGAGCTATCATATGTGATTACATCATTACATGTAAATCAAACACTTCATTTTACAGGGTTTCATCATATTTATATTTTCATATTTGATATTACTAACTCACTTCACAATCTACCGGTTTCATTGACATAGTCCAATCCCGTTCTTGAGGCATTTGGAAATGCAAAAACAGTCAGGAATAATAATTCAAGGTGTGAACATCAATAACACTTCTGTTCTATTTTTACCAATTGGTTTTTATGGTTAGCATTTGTTCATTTAACACAAATTTTCTCTTTCTTCTTAGCTATATGTCTTCACACATTTCCTTTGTCTCACAATGCAGTCGCTTTGGTAAATTTGTTGAGATTCAATTTGATCAGAGTGGGAAAATCTCAGGGGCTGCCATAAGGACTTATCTTTTGGAAAGATCTCGTGTTTGCCAAATATCTGATCCAGAGAGAAATTATCATTGCTTTTACATGCTATGTTCTGCACCAGCGGAGGTAAAAACATGGCAATTACAGATTAAACTCTTAAATATAGGGTTGCAACTTACATTTTAGCAGTATCTTTTGCCAACTTTCTTACAAGCCATTAGAAAGGAAGTTTTTATCATGTAAATATGGTTTTCATTCAATTGTAAACTTTATCAGTTGAGGGGCAACATAAGCAGCCAACACAATGTTATTATATTTCTAAATATAATACAGTAGGAGTACATGTCTTTTCAACCTTTTTAAGGAGTACTTTAAAACAGGTGTAAACTTGCTATGTTTGTATATGTAATATGTGCTGTCACAAATGATTACATTATACATCAGTGGGAATCCACATTTTGGTTGTCAAGATACCACATTTTCAAAATTACAACTGCTGTAGGAAACAGTATTCCTATTGATGTTAGCTGCTTCAAATGTTGAACGACAAGCATATAACTTGTAATACTCTGTGCTGTTGTCTCTTGTTTTCTTTAGTTGTTCTATTAGGCCAATGTTGTAAGTAATGCACTTTTTTATCCATGAACTGTACTATCTACAACTTTTGACCTGTACTCAAAATGCTGGTGTTAGGAACGTGAAAGGTATAAGTTAGGAGATCCTGCATCATTTCACTATCTCAACCAGTCTAATTGCATTAAGCTTGATGGGATGGATGACTCTTCAGAATATATTGCAACTAGAAGAGCAATGGATATAGTGGGCATCAGTTCTGATGAACAGGTTTGGTTTAGTGCAAAGTTATATTGGAAACTAGTTTGGTTTATCTTAAAGAGCACTTTTATTAGGACCTCTGTTGGGATTTCTTGCAGGACGCAATATTCAGAGTTGTTGCTGCAATCCTTCATTTGGGCAATGTAGAATTTGTGGAAGGAAGTGAAGCAGATTCTTCTGTACCCAAAGATGATAAATCCAAGTTTCATCTTCGGACAGCTTCTGAACTTTTCATGTACTAGTTATTCCATGGGCTCAATGCAAAGTATTTTTGGGGACCCTTGCACAGTATTTTTGGGCACTCTTCACCCTTGGTATGACATGCATGTGGAAACGTTCTGCAGGTGTGATGAGGAGGCTCTTGAGGAATCTTTGTGTAAGCGTGTAATAGCAACACGTGGTGAAAGTATAGTAAAAAATTTAGATGCCCGGGCAGCAGCTCTTAGTAGAGATGCATTGGCCAGAATTGTCTACTCACGGTTGTTTGATTGGTAAGTTCTGAACTAGTCTAGATGGTTATTGCCATTCTGCTTTATATTATAATTACAAAATTTGTATTGCACAGAAATATAAGTGGCAACTATATGTTTTCTTCTTTTCAGGCTTGTAAATAAGATCAATACTTCAATAGGGCAAGATCCTAGTTCAAAGCTTCTGATAGGTGTGCTGGATATATATGGTTTTGAAAGTTTCAAGACAAACAGGTGCTTAACTGGTATGCTTTTGCATTTAGTCTCGTGTTTATCTTCATGCAATAGGTGCATCGATCATGCTGTTTGTTGAGTTTGACTAGGAGAAGAGTTTTTTTTCCCTGTACGACATATCTCCACTTACCTTTTTTATCATTCAGTTCGAAATTATCTGATCGGTGCATTTCTATCTGAAATAGATTTTTAAATTAATTATGCCTTACCTTTTCTTTCTTTCTTTTATTCTCTCTTTTCTGAGAAAATATATTCTATACCACTGAGTTTGTTCAAGTTTAACGATTCGCCATCGACATTGTCTCTTTCTATAATATACCGGTGACTTTATCAATTGTTCTACAATATGCCATTGGGCTGGACCTTCTTTTCAAAAATACCGAAAATACCCTTAGAGACATACAAGATTAACAATTGATTTATCTCTTTAGAAGTTTCAAAAAAAAAATGAAAACTTTTGTATGGCCTCCTTACACAACATGGAAGTTTGTATACAAGTTTCAAGTTTTTTATGGTATATTTCATTTTTGGAAAAAAATGTATATGTAGTATATGAGAAAGAATTTGCTTATACAAGACATAATAGCACAAAAATATCTTATATAGTGCATCAAAGATGATTTATATTAAAAAAATAAAGTCTTTTATATAGCATATAACAGATAAATTATATTTTTCTTAAAAAAATAGAAATGTAAAAAACTTGAAACTTCTATACAAATTTCTATGTTGCATAAGGAGGCCACATAAAAGTTTTCATAATTTTTTGAAACTTGTAATGATATAAATTAATTGTTAATCTTGTTTGTCCATAAGGTTATTTTGGGTATTTTTGAAAACAAGACCCAACTCAATGGTGTATCGTAGAACAATTGATAACAATGTCGATGGCAAATTGTAGAACTCGAACAAGCTCAGTGGTATAGAATAGATTCTGTTTTTTTTTTTTTTTTGGGGGGGGGGGGGTCGGGGGCGAGTGGTGGTTATAAGAAATGTTGCTCTTTGCAAAGTAGAAAAGTTGGCTTATTTGAACAATAGAAAGTGCTAGTACGGTGCTTTATTTGTCACTAAAATAGGTCATTACAGTATGCATGTAGTTGAACTTTGGAAATTTGATATTTGTTGGATATAAAAGCATGGTGATTGATCACATGAAAATGATGTAAATAGTTGTCTTGGAAAATATGGCCTAATATATGTAGTATATTATTGTAACAAAAAAACAACCATCTTGTGTTGAAGAGTATCAAAAAGAAAAGGGAAAGAAATTGCATTTAAGGAGAGTACTTTTATTCAAGGGGTAAAATGTACTTTTCGCATGGGTTAACGGAGATCAACTAATGGTGATGGCAAAAAGGGAAGAAATATACTTGTGCAATGGCATTTCATAGAATTCATGTTCATCGATGGCAATTCGTAGAACTGGATCACCTGTCAATGGCTAAACACAGAATTTCTCCAATATGGCTAAAAAGAATACTGGACTTTGAATTAAAAGAATAAAGGAGAACAATAAAATCTAACCCACATAGCCAAAGTCCAAAACAGACAGTTGAATTGTCCTTATGAGGCCACTCATAGCGTTGCTAGCCTTTCACCACCACTCATCAAACAACAAGTCTGTTGGCTGAGGAGAGTATGACCAGGCCAACCCGCTGCAATAAGGAGAACCAAAATTTCCGAGTAAACACGCACAAGACGAGGAGGTGGAGAATTGTTTCATCTCGGTCAGAAAGAGGACAGCGGTCAGGCTGCAGCAGCCCTCGCTGTAATAGACATTCCACTGCCTAGCAGCGATTATATGCAACCAGCCAAAGGAAGAAGCTGCATTTTGCAGGGGCCCAAGATTTCCATATACGCTCCAAGGAGAAAACTGGAAGCCCCTTGAGGCATTATATGCCGATTTGACCAAGTACTGGCCTGAGCTCGAAAGTCACCAAATAAGCTCATCTGAAACACCTGGTTGTAGCTCCGCCTTAGAGAGGATATCCCAAAGATCAAGGAAGCCTGCAAGGGAACCAACAGATGCTGCTCCCTGAACATCCTGAATCCATCTTCGATCAGTCAAATCATCAAGGACTGTTCTCTGGTTTGCCCTTTGTTTAGGCACTAGGGCATACAAGTGGAGCGCAAGATCCTCAAAGCCCATTCAACCATCTGTCCAGAAAATGGTGTTAGCTCTGTTACTAGCTTCAGAAACCACGGCCATGGAGGACTGAACACAATCATTCACTTGACAACTGGTGGGCAGGGGCAAAACACATCTTTTCTCTTGTACTTTATGATGCCTTGGACACTTAAAGTTGTTGGATCTTGTCCATGGTCCTGTATTCTAATAACTTGTGAATGTGCAAGATAAAAATATGAAAAATGTTTTGTTATCAAATGACCGAATAAAAGTGTAGATCTGGGCCATGGGCTTTAATGTTTGCTTTCTTGGTTGGTTGTTATGATTTGAGCCTTAAATTTGCATGTATTCTTGAATCAGTTATTAACTATTGCATGATATGAAACCATATGCTTATCTATTGATATGGAGATTATAACATTTACATCTTCATATTTTTCTATGCCTCAGTTTTGAGCAGTTTTGTATCAACTTAACTAACGAGAAGCTCCAGCAGCACTTTAATCAGGTTAGGGAATGGAATAGTTATTGATGTTCTGCATTCTATATTTTATTATATTAATTAAACTTTACATTGTCACCTTTTTAATTCTATATATTTTCTTCTGTAGCATGTGTTTAAAATGGAGCAAGAGGAATATACAAAGGAAGAAATTGACTGGAGTTACATCCAATTTGTGGACAATCAGGAGATTCTTGATCTCATTGAGAAGGTGAACAGGATCCAGTTTCAACCCCTTGTTTATTATCAATATAATTGTTTTTTATATTGAGATGATTAGTTATAGACTTCTAGGCCCACGCTATAGACCGAAACCCTGAACAATTCATTCACCTACGTCCAAACCTTTCTCTACTTCCATGTACTCATGTTTTCAAGCAGTATTGAATATAATGTTATCTCATATAAAGTATGGAGCTCCATGTTTCAATTACAGTGTCTATATATGCATAGATATCACTGGTTAATTTCCAATAGGTTGAACCTTATATATGATGCAATATCTGACTCCTTATTTATTGTCATACAGAAACCAGGGGGGATAATTGCTCTACTCGATGAGACTTGGTATGCACAAGTAAATTATGACTGTTCCTTTTCTGGCTAGAGGAAGTGGTAGTATTGGGGTTTGAGCCTTAAATTTGCATGTATTCTTAATTATCATTCTGAGTTTTTCTAACAATACCTTATTTTTTATGTCAGCATGTTGCGAAATTCAACCCATGAAACATTTGCTGAGAAGCTATATCAACAATTTAAGGGCAACCAACACTTCAGTAGGCCAAAATTTTCACGTTCTGATTTCACTATTCATCACTATGCCGGACATGTAAGTGTCATATATTTCTTTTGTCTGCCTACTGACCACTTTCAGGACTGCTGATAGAGGAATTATTTATTACCAGCTCATGACAATGACACATATGGCAGCATACCGTCGTAGTTGGTATGGGAAAACAACTTTCCAAGCTGTGGGATGGATGCATTTTGGCATTCAATCCAGCTGAAATTGGCATGCCATGCCTCGTTAATACTAGTCAATCTTGTTTTTATGTTGATCATGTTACAATGGAATAGAGTTATGCCCGATGTCACTCAAAATAGCTATGCGCAGCCAATAGCAACATGTGCTTGCTTATGTGTTCTCCCAAAAATATACAGCTCTTAACCAATTGGAGCATAGTAGAAGGGGCTGATAACTAGAATTATAATAAATAGTAAATATTTCATGTCCAATACAAGCTTACAACAAATGACTAATATATCTATGTTCGAGATGGATTAGCCTGCTGTGTAAACTAGTGGCATACAATTTGGTTTTATAGAGTTGAACCTGCATAGTATGCAGTGGAGACTTATGTAACCACATGTTTCTTCTTTTGCAGGTTACTTATCAAACAGATTTGTTTTTAGATAAGAACATAGACTATGCTGTAAATGAGCATCAAGTTCTGTTACATGCTTCTAGATGTTCATTCGTTTCAAGTCTTTTTCCACCTTCTGAAGAATCAACTAAATCTACAAAATTCACATCCATAGGTTCAAGCTTTAAGGTAAAAATGTTATTCCTTTTATTTACTCCATACTCAGTTTCATTACACTATAGTTTTCTTACTACGATTATATTTTAATTTTCTCTTGCATCACAGCAACAACTGCAAGCTTTGTTGGAAACTTTGAGTTCAGTAGAACCACATTACATTCGCTGTATAAAGCCAAATAATGTTCTCAAGCCAGCAATTTTTGAGAACAGCAATGTTCTCCAGCAACTTCGATGTGGAGTAAGAAACTCTATCACCCTGATTTATTTTACTGGATGCAAGGTCTAGGAAAAATATCAAGCATTCTTAAATTCTTTTATGAGTGAATAATCCATATTCTAGATTAAATTTGATAAAGCTTTGGAAAAATCACATTTTTGGCCTGTGTATTTCAATGCAGATGCCTTGCCCTTATAATCCTGAGCCGAGATCAGTTAACTCTTGTAATTCCAGTTTTTTGTAGTGCTTTCTCCATGCTGATTGACGGTGTTTTTTTTTACCTGATATGTCATTGGGCATCACATCTGGCTATCATTTGTCACTCTCTCAGTCTCTCTAGCCAGTCAAACCCCAATACTACCACTTTCTCCAGCCAGAATGAAATTTGGAAACCTATACTCAGCAAAACATGTCTAATTATGCCTACGTGGCAGAAATGCAAGAAAAACAGAATTATAGGGTACTCCCTCCGTCCCAAAATATAACAACTTTTAGCCCCCTGGATTTGTCCCAAAATATAACAACTTCTCCACCAACATTTTCTTCTCAACCAATCACAACTCTCCACCATTCACTTTTCCTACCTACCTCCACTACTCATCCAATCACAACACTCCATCATTTACTTCTACCTACTTTCTTAATAACCGTGTCCAACTCTAAAACTTCTTATATTCTGGGACGGAGGGAGTATGGTTTTGTAAGTGCATCTGCACCTCGAGATTGATTCAATTTTCAGATTCGAACTAACTAGTCCATCTTTTATTGATGAAAATTTTTTATTGGCCATCTAAAGTTGCAAAGCTTCCTTATATGCCACTCAAGACATGCTATTCTGCCACTGGAACAGTTGTTTACCACTCTGCCATGAAAAAGCAGCCATTTAGATGGTGCAGATAGACCAGAATTCCCTTAGACCCTACATAAACGGCTCAATGATGATGCCACATGGTCCCACCCCTTGAACTCCCCATCTCCCCGGAATTCTACACTCGATGGCTTGACAGTGTGAATCCAGTCTTCCCACAGGAGCCATATTTCTTGGGGAACCAAGGCCACAAATCCTATCTCCACTAGAATAGAGGCACATTGTACAGAGATGGGGAGAGACGACAAGCAACATTTGGTCAATAAGGAGATAAAAGATCTGCATGATCTCTTCAGATACATAGCGATACCTCGAACTGGATGCACTAATTTATGTGAAATGACCTAATAGTTGTGTAATCGCTGTCATTAGAAGGACCAAAACAAATCACAATGAATATAACTGTAGCAAGGGGTGGCGCACAGCGGCAGCTGGTAGCTAGTGATGTGTGGTGCCAACCTTTTGCTGCTGGACCTTAAGCTACCATTGCACCATTGACCACATGCCTCAGGCATCTCTCCCAGAAGATCAAAGAGGACAAACGCATGGCACGTGTGCTATGTTGAGCTAGCCAGCCTTGGAATTGCTGTGTGCCAAAATGGGCCAACGTGTACAAATATGCAGAAAATACCCTATTGGTTAGGGTAATTACACAGCTTGCTATACAATATATCTAACAAGTGGTCCAGTTTGAGGTCTCATGGTGCATGGGGAAGAAGCCCATTGGCAGAGGTGGCACTTCTGACAATGGGCATGCTAGACCTGCTTTAGAGTCAAGAAATGGAGGAAGAAGATAAATAAGAAAGAACAGAGGAAGCTGCCTAGGCCCCAGCGCCCTGTGCTGACTGTTAGAATACTGGAACAATGTGGACCAGGGAGTAGTTTGGCCACTTAACCAAAAGACTGACAAGTGACAAGCCTCCCACCTGTCATGGAAATTTCCTGATGGATAGGCAATACCAGTGTCATATAAGTGATGTGAAATTTTATCCCATGGCATACAAGGGAATAGCCATTCTGGATGGGGAATAAGGGCAAATAGGAAGTGTGGATGGAAAATAGAGGATTTTCTCTTTATCCATTTAATTTCTCTACACAAATATCAAAACATTTGGATCGGTAAGATAGATTATGAACCTACATATACATTTGGAGATGAATTTTGTTCCCACTCACAATCTCACATGATCATTTGTGATAAGCCATCATGAAACCCTGTTGCACATACACAGTGAGATGTCAAAACCTACGAATTCAGTTGCACAGGGTGAAAGAGTTATAATCCACAGTATGTTGAGAAAAGGCCTAGTACTAGCACATAAATTGCTACTCAAATCATTGTTATGGTATTCTAAATAATGCTTTAACCACTGTAGTTATGGCAACACCCATTTACCGGGTGTTGTAGGCCATTAGATAGATGTTATGCAGTTATTTGGACCGCAGCCTTTGAAGTCATCTGATTTGTTGCCACTGTAAACATAAGGTGTACAAAAACACCATGTTACCCTCTTTCCTTTGGGCTCAAATCACAACCTCGCCTTGCACGCATAAATCAGAAGGCTTGAGTGTTTATTCACTTAGAAAATACTATGAACCTATCATGCGAAAATTGAACGTATTTCTGCGTATCTTTCTTTGCCAAATTACATCATAAAAGGCAATCTTCTAAACTTTGTTCTTTTGAACTCATATGGGTCCAAATGTGTAACAGTAGAAACACAAGTACATTAGAAAAAAATGATTCGGCAATAAAGACATGGTGGTAGTATTCCAGCAGATAAATTTGACTGCTATTACTTGCATGTTTTTCATGCAGTTCATATTAACTTGTATTTTGGCCTTTTGGGATATTGATTTCACCGCATGCATTAACCTTTTAAACAGGGAGTGCTAGAGGCAATAAGAATAAGCTGCCTAGGGTACCCAACAAGAAGAACATTTGATGAGTTTGTTGATCGTTTTGGTGTTTTGCTACCTGAAGTTCTTGATGAAAGGTAAATCTATTGATTCGACTTTTTAAACCTTTTTATTTCTAGAAAGACTAATGACTTTTTGTTGGCAGTTATGATGAAGTTACTGCTACAGAAATGCTTCTTGAGAAAGTCAATCTCACAGGCTATCAGGTAACCAATATGTATTACAATCTGCAGTTGTAATGTTTTAAAATTTTAGTCCATATCACTTTTTTATAATATATTTGGCATTTCTTCGAATTCTCTAACATTTTTTCCTAATATCATTGCTTTTAAATTTCAATGTCTTTGTTGTTTTCTACTGATCTGGTAAATATGCTACTCAGATAAGCTTCTGTTCAATGGTCTGTACTTCTGTAACAGCCTTTATGCAAGTTCCTCCAAAGTGTCTAGCATGATGGAAAATGAAAAATCTTCACAATCTTTTAAAAAGCTTGAACTAATACAAGAAATACTTGTGTACATATTTTGTCCATAGATCAAGAAATTTCCTTTATTAATAATACATGGAATTCTATGTTAAATGCAGTCTCCATGCTATCTAGATAAGCTGTGTATTTAAAAGTTCTAATGTTGATGATGTATAGGCTTTGATTACTTTTGGTCTTATCCCCACAGATAGGGAAAACGAAAGTGTTTCTGCGTGCTGGTCAGATGGCTGAGCTAGATGCTCGAAGGACTGAGGTCTTGAGCAGTTCTGCTAGCAAAATCCAGAGAAAAGTTCGATCATACTTGGCTCACAAACACTTCATTCAGTTGCGATTATCTGCTACTCAGCTTCAGGCAGTATGCAGAGGTATATTTTTGTGGAACAATATTGAAAAGACTTTACTCTTGTATGATTTTAAGTGGAGGTAATGCTTATGATCTGTGCCAACTGAAGGACAAATTGCAAGACATTATTATGAAGACCTCCGTAGGAAGGCTGCGACCTTGACAATTCAGACCTATTACCGTATGCATTTTGCAAGGAAAAATTATAGAGATCTCTGTTCTGCATCAACTACTGTCCAATCTGGTCTACGTGGCATGGCGGCTCGCAAGGAACTCCAGTACCGTCAGCAGACAAAAGCTGCAGTGATTATTCAGGTCCATTTTCTGGTCACAATGTATTCTTTTTCTACTGAAATTTATGTAAAATTATATCTTTTGTGAGTGAATTGGTTTAAGCTTTGTATATGCATCTTCCTTTATTACCTATCACTACCTTAACAATAGTTTTGATATTTTTGTCCATTCAGAGTTACTGTCGCAGTTATTTAGCACACTCACAGTACATGGGCTTGAAGAAAGCAGCGATCACAACCCAATGTGCTTGGAGAGGGAGGTTGGCCAGAAGAGAACTTCGAAAACTTAAAATGGTAAGAACCACCATGTGAACGGTTTCGCTATGTTTTCTTTTCTTTGACCTTGACTGTTTGTTTCTTCTACATTTGCTATTTCCATTGTGTTAGACCTAGGCACTAGACTTGGTAATAAAGTCCATCCATAAGAGGTCCGGCATATATATTTACCATTTCCTGATGAAACTTGGCTTCGATTTACTCCCTCCTTCCCAAATTGATCATCATATATGTTTATGCACTAAGACCAAGAATAATTTAAATCACATCAATTAAGACACCATGCACACATTCTCCCACAATGCATGCATCGAGTAAAACATCATGCCAATCACACCTTAGCATGCACACATTCTCCCATGTTGCATTAATTGTATTATGATGAAATCCGTGTCCATGCGGTTATATGATGATCAATTTGAGAAATTTTGAATTCCATTATATGATGATCAATTTAGGAAGGAGGGAGTACATCTTTACCTCTGCTGATATGCCTTGATGTCACTGCTCATCATGAGCTTGTTATGGTTGCATGGCTGGAAATTACATGAAAGCAGAATTTCAAATTAGTCTAGTTATAATATGGCAATGCTATTCAAAATTTGAAGTTGTCGATAACTTAGTATATACCATACTTTCATGAACCTAGCATGTACCCTCCTATAGATGAAATAAAAGAGCATGCTAGCTTTCAAGTTTCGCCAAAACTCCTTTACCTGCAAGTTCATTTAATAGTTGTAAGCCAGCAGCCTGTCACACTTCTGGTAATATGGATAATCATTAAGACCATAGCTAGAGTTTCAAACAGTCCTAGTTAGTTCATCTACTTTGGTCCGTTGACTTATATCACTTTATTTTGCTACTTTCAGGCTGCAAAAGAAACTGGTGCTCTGCAAGCTGCTAAGAATAAATTAGAGAAACAAGTTGAAGAGCTAACTTGGCGGCTTCAGCTGGAGAAACGCATGAGGGTAAATTCAGAGATTGCTTTGTTTTTACAGTCAGACCGTTTATGTTGTATTTGTCTACAGCTGATGTAATTGCACATATTACATCATTAGATTCTCTATGATTATATATATATTTCATGTTAAAATATAAATGGGACAAAGAAATAACTTTAGAAAAAAAAATGAAATTCACAACTAGTGTACTGGCACAGGAAGGACTTGCTATGCCTAATATTGACAGTTCTAGAAATATAAGTATTTGCCAACATTTTGGAATTCTTCGTTAATTCCTATCTGGCTGTTCGGAAAAAAGTTCGTCTTTGGCTCTTGTTCACCAAAAGTCTAAATGTAATCTGAAACACCAAAAATACTTAAAATAAACAGGTCAAAGCTAACATAGATCTGGTTTTCATGAGTGTGTCTGCTACATGAATTGACCATTTGTTGATGTGATACTAATTAGGAGTAAGTATGGTCATGATCATCGAAGCAGGATAAACATTGATGACTATGATGAAATGGAATTGTACAGAATGCTAGAGTTATAGCTGAAGGAGATTTGTGGAACTAGATTGTGTAGCTGGAGGCATAGCATAACGAGATGGTAAAATTTGAGGTGTAGTGGGAGATGGTGGTTCAAGAAATGATGGTGTGACTAGAGTCGGAAAGGTTCAATATAGGTCATATGTCTAATTAAAGTATAAATTAAGTTTAGGAACTGTGTGAAGATGGGGAAGGTAAACGTCTCACCAGAACATCTGTTCAAAGGTGACATCAGAAGAGGCTTAATATATTGATAGCCCTTATGGGAGATTGTACTCTAGATAAACATACAACTAACTACATCTGAGTAGTCAATTTCGTGCTTTCATTAGGAGGAAGCAAGAAATAGTACATACTACAAACATGAAAACTGAATTTGATGGTAATCTTGGATATCCAAACGATACGCCAAGGAAGTGGTGGTACCAACCCCATGTCTACTTATACATATTTATGGGATTCTATGGGCACACTACCCATTGCTGAGATAGTTCCTAATGTATTCAGCAATTATTTCCTGTGTTTCTATCTTAATCATGGATGGTTTAAAATTGTAAAAAATGGTTTGTTTGTATTTCAAAATTTTATCTGCGTGCTTGCTATTTCATGAATGCCACTTTCCTGGAAGCTTAAGGTGACTAGAGGTTGAGACCAATGGCTGCATTTTTTTTTCCTGATAGCATGTTCTAATAAACTGCATGCACAATTAAAGATAACATATATATATATACTCCCTGGTCATGAAAACATGTTGTTCTGGAGATGTTTCAAGTCAAACTTTTAGAACTTTGAATATCATTATCATATTAAACATCTAGAATTGATGCATATGAGTCCTAAATTTGGATTGTTTCAAAAAATACTTTTGCAATATTTTGCAATCCAATACAGATTAGCTGTGAAGAAAAACATGATCCCATGATTGGAAGGAGTAATTAAGTAAAATCAATTTCTAATCACAACACAGATTTTATTTGTTTCGTTTTTGTTTTACATCTATGAAGTGTCTTATGCAAAGTTTGCTGGCCTGCAGGTTGACATGGAAGAAGCCAAGTCACAAGAAAATAAGAAGCTGCAACAGAAATTGCAGGAACTTGAATTGCAGTCCAATGAAACAAAAGATTTGTTAAAAAGGGAACAAGAAACTGCTAAAGCAGCATGGGAGAAAGCTGCCTTAGTACCAGAGGTCCAGGTTGATACAACTCTTGTTAATGAGCTCACAGCTGAAAACGAGAAGCTCAAGGTAAACATCTTCACTACAGTTGATTCATTGCACATTTGGACTAGCAAGTTTGTCCACTTTCATGGTAATCCGGACCATTCAGGGTATTATGTATATTGACAAGTGAAGGACATTTATTCCATTTTGTAAATTGGTAGTGTAGCTTGACAGGTAAGGAGACCCCTGGATTCTTTTGTGAGCATATTAAACATACAACCATACTGTTGGCACCAACATTACAAATAGAGTTTCTTTTTTATACAAGTCATGGTATTACTGTGTTGTACCACAAAATATAATGAGCTAAATGACTTAATCCTTTTCTTTTATATGTTTAGACACTTGTGGCTTCTCTCGAGACAAAAATTGATGAAACGGAACAGAGGTTTGATGAAGTGAAGAAAGCTAGAGAAGAGTTGCTGAAGAAAGCCACAGATGCAGAGTCAAAGATAAATGGACTAACGAACACAATGCTAAGGTCCTAGCTATGGCATTGTTTACATGATATAAAGCATATCTAGATATTGATAACCCCTCTATATGTGTTCTTTTTAGTTGATTGGCTTCTTTTCCATACAGTCTTCAAGAAAAACTAACAAACATGGAACTGGAAAATCAAGTTCTCCGGCAGCAGGCACTGTTTCGTTCTCCTGTGAGAACAATACCTGAAAACACGTCTCCAAAAGCTGTAAGTGCCTTTTCTATCCTAGTCCTACCTCCTTTGTCTTACACTCATGATTCTTTACGTCCAGTACAAATATCAGTCTTCTGGTCCTTTCTTTTTTTCCATTCATCCATTTTTTTGGTGTTTTTACCTTCTCTTTACTGAGTCCCTTCTTTGGCTTTCCACCTTTGCAGAATTCAACTAATAGCAGTCCACACGGGGATGAACAGATGGTTGGAAGCAGTTGTCTTGTAGAGCTAGTTAAATCAATATATACTTTTCAGTTTTATGATTGAATCTAAATTGCTTTTTTCTCTCCAGACACCTCATGGTACACCTCCAGCTTCTAAAGAATATGGGAAGTTCGCACAGCCAAGACCATCCTTTTTTGAGAGGCAGCATGTATGTTCAAACTTTTTGCATTTTTTGTTTAATTCATTTAGTGACGTTATTTTGGAACAGATGTTGATTTCCTTCATCCACAACTTTACAGGAGAGTGTTGATGCACTGATAAACTGTGTTACTGAAAACATTGGCTTCAGTGAAGGAAAACCAATTGCTGCAATAACCATATATAAATGTCTGGTTCATTGGAAGATCTTTGAAACAGAGAAAACATCTGTTTTTGATCGGCTTATTCAAATTTTTGGTTCTGCGATGCAGGTATCTTTGCTGGTGTTGACTATATGTGCCCCTTTTGGTCAACTACTCTTGTTTCACAACCATTCTGTTCCTGAAATGCATGACAATTTTATCAATATTCTCTTACAAAAATGGCTCCTTCTGTATGTCAGAAACACGATAGCAATGAGGATCTTGCATACTGGTTATCAACTTCATCAACTTTATTGATTATGTTGCAAAAGAGCCTAAAAGCTGCTGGCTCATCTGGAGGAACTCCACGGAAAAAACCACAGACTCAGTCATCATTCCTAGGGAGGATGGTATGTTTTGCCACTTCACTACTTCAGTCACCATATGAACCATCAAATCCTTAGAAGTTGGAGTTCTGTGTTTTCACTTATCAATATTACTTCTTTGCTCTTTTTAAAATTTATTAACTTATATATCAACATGCGCCATATGAAAATGACAATAGTAGATTTGTTGAGAGTATTTTCACAATATTATAGGTTGATACTTTTGCCAACGTATTATCACTTCGAATTATTATTCGTAATCAATGTTTCTTACGACCCTATTATTTTGTGCAGCCGAAGTTTTTCAAATTTGACCTAACATTAAAAATGTTTCGAGGTTGGCCACATGGATGTCATCATTTGTTTCTTAAAACTATTTACATAATATTATGATTTACCCTATTCATAACGCAGAATTTTCTTTTTGGCCTCTCACCTGAACTATTTTATCTTTCTATTATCAAAATGTTTCACTTATATCCTCCTACCATCAAAATTTTTCACTTCAACTTTCCACTCATTCAGTACTGCTCATCTCTCTTTTTTTCCAATACCATCCTGTCAAGTCTAGCTAACTGTTAGACTCACCCGAAAAGGACCATTGCGCTCTTATGTCAACCAAAAATTATAGGAATTTCAAAAAAAAAAAATCAGAGATATTTTGCAAAAAAGGCTTTATGATGGAGAATTTTTTGTGTAGCTTGAAATGTTTCTTTTAGTCATAGAAAATGGGAATACTGATATAAGTTGTTATCTCCAGTCTATACCAAAGGAATTTCTGGATGTAATATTTTCAGGAAAATTAAGAACCATATAATTTACTACCTTCTATTTTTAAAGAAATGTAGTCTTTTAGTAGTGATCCTTTTTTTTTTTGGATGATGGTTTATAGAATTTTTGTTAATTTTACCATTTTATTTTAATATTGAACTTATTCTGGGGCATAATAGTGTTTTGGACACAAATGAAGTATAAACTCATCCAATCTCATGATATTAACCAAATTAGCATTTTTTCCCCTTCGTCACATTGTTCATAAAGACATGGTTTCTGCATTGTTCTGGTGTTTTGTGGCCAGGTGTTCCGCTCGTCAAACATCACTGTTGATATGGACCTTGTGCGCCAAATTGAGGCCAAGTATCCTGCTTTTCTTTTTAAGCAGCAGCTTACAGCTTTTGTCGAAGGATTATATGGAATGATCCGTGACAATGTGAAGAAAGAACTATCTTCACTACTCTCACATGCTATTCAGGTAAACTGATTTCTGTTGGTTATTCTGTCAATTGAAATATCAGTTGAAAGACACCATTGCACAAACTGGTGCATTATTGTGAGCGAATAAACAATGTATGTTCATGATATGCATATTTGCTAATAAAACCCATTATTTGTTGACTAGGCTGTTGTTTAGTGCATCCAATACTATATGTCTATATTGTTTTAATGCCTGCAGGTGTTTTATTAGTCTTTTTAGAGTTAATTGTTATATTGTGTTACTGCAGGTCCCAAGAATCATGAAAGCCAGTATGGTAAGAGGGCGTTCATTTGGGACATCGAGTTTACCAAGGGGACGTTCATTTTCAAATCAAGGTAGCTACTGGCAAGCGATAGTTGATAATTTGGATGAACTATTGAAAATCCTACAAGAAAATTGCGTAAGAAATTACTACTTCATTTTCTGTACATACCATAACTACAACTAGTGATGGTATTCTAAACGTTCTGCTAAAATTTTAGGTCCCGGCAATTTTTATGAGGAAGATATTTACCCAAATTTTCTCATTCATCAATGCCCAACTTTTTAATAGGTAATTGTCTGCTGATACTAACCTTAACCTTTCAATTTTGTCCAATATCATAAATTCCTTATTCTTTGGCTGCACTGTTTTCAGCCTTCTTGTACGCCATGAGTGCTGCTCTTTCAGCAATGGAGAGTATGTGAAACAAGGATTAGCACAAATGGAGGTGTGGTGTGGAGAAGTCAAACCAGAGGTAATGATATGAATGCACTTGCATCATATGTCTCGAGTAGTTTAAGTTGTTAGTTTTAATTCTTTGCAGCAAAACTTTGAATTAAGCTGTATCACCTCACTACTGTGAGCAACAAGTGTTCATCCTCTATAACCAGTCAGATTAGCAATGTTTACTCTAATTCATAATAATGTGCAGAACCACATTATTAGTTTGTTTCCTTGATCTGCTCAATGATGAGAATTGCAATTTTTCTTACGTTAACCTTGTTAACTCAAGTTTATAATTCTGGACAACTTTATTATAATATTTCGTTGTTTGCCTCAATGTCAAGAATTGCAATTTTTCACGTTTCCCCCTGCCTGACTGTTAAATGCCAACAGTACGTAGGATCTGCATTGGATGAACTCAAGCACATAAGGCAAGCTGTTGGTTTCTTGGTATGTTACATCTCATGCACTCATATTTCGGGTCCACTTTCTATTGTTAGGTCAATTCGTGCATTTCATCATTATTTTTCCTTAACTTGGTAGTGTCCTGAAATCATGTATCACACAGCAGAAGCAAATGTTGACTTGATAACTTGGTGCAAACTTGGACAGAAGCAAATGTTCTACTGCATGGAAGTTCTAAAAAAATCTCAAAAAATTCACACACGGATAAGATGATATTAGAAAACCATACAAAATTGAACTACCAAATTGAGTCATTTATGAGACATAAAATTAACAAGCTACTATGAAAAAACACTATTCCTGATTTTTTTATATTCTTCACTATTTGTTATGTTTATATAGTTTGGTCTTGCAATTTCGTATCTAATATTATGTTACCTATGTGTGAATTTTCAAAGATAATTTGAAAATTTTTATGATATAGTTTGTATGGTTTCCACCAAAGATGTGGTTTCCACTGCATATTTTGTTTACCCTTGATAATTGGCATTGAATATAGCATGTATCAAATCCAGCTGTAAGTTGGCCAGACAGTCCAAGATGTTGATATGTACATCGTTCCTCAATATATGAGATTTCATTATGAAATTAAATCTATTTTATGTTGGGAACTCATTTAGATAATGACATAGTGCTTTTCTCAAGCTTATGTGCAGTTTCTGGTGTGTCATTTTATTCTAAAACAAAAAGGATGTATTTATTTAAATCCACCTTGTCACTGGAACAATCATCGAAACTTGTACACACCAAATTCATACTATTTGGGCAAAATCTTTTGGTATGGCAAAACCTTAGTTGACTGCATTGTGTTACGTTTCATTCAATATTTTCTGTTTTCAGAAGTGTGCAGCACAAAAAGATTAGCAGATTTAGGTTCTTTTTGACAATGTGGTGTCTTTTCAAAGACACTTCAAAAATCTCATTGGATAAGTAAAGATTCAACCAACCAAGTTACACAGGGGCAATCTGACTTTAGTTTCTTTCCATGAAGCTTTCTTGTTGATGATGATATGACTGGGATGTTTGTACTTCACGTTCCTTGTTGATGATGATGACTTACATATTTCTGTTGTTGTGTAGGTCATATTTAAAAAATTCAGGATTTCATATGATGAGATTGTCAATGATCTGTGCCCAGTATGCTCCTCTCTCTCCCTCCCTCCCTCCCTCCCTCCCTGTCTTCGCACGTGCACATGTGTGGGCACACGGATGACGGATGGGTACAGGCTGCAGGCATGGGAAGATAATGTATATTGCATTTTGCTGTGGTAATATGCAGGTACTAAGTGTCCAGCAGCTGTACAAAATATGCACACAGTACTGGGATGACAAATACAACACAGAGAGTGTATCTGAAGAGGTAAGAGGAGAAACCCTGCTAATTTTTATGGTTCAATAGCAATCGTGATATTTGCATACCATTTTGAGTGTGTAATAAAATTTGCTATATAAAACAAGATAATTTTTGTACAAGTTCCTTCATTTATCCATATTTTTTTATTTTCCTTTTATCAGTTGGGTATCTTTTTTCTGGGGGTTGCAAGTTGCAAACCATCAGAAAAGGTGACGTTTATGAAGAAGTGATTGGTGTGGTTTGGAAAATACGTTCCAAAGGGTCTTGGGTTGTTAAAATTTCCACTGTGTAATTCAAAAAGTAGATTTCCAGTCAGAAACATGCATACAGAATATCTACCAGAGTGGTCTGAGGTTCAGGACTTTAGGGTGTTCTTTGCTGTAAGCTAGTAAGCTAACAGCTAACCACAATTTTCAATTATTCTGCAGTGTGATAAGCTTAATTCATTAGGATAGAAAAAATAGTTAGGCCATTCCAATATTGTGAATATATTGAATATGAACCCAAAACGTTGTGCATTTATTTTATTTTACACGTTGCCCTTCAGTAGAACACATAGCTGCTGACAAAAATCAAGAGCTCATTTATTTGCCACTGGATTGTAGGTACTTGATGAAATGAGGACGCTGATAACGAAGGAATCAGGCCAAGATAGTTCAGAGAATACCTTTTTATTGGATGATGAAATAAGGTGAACAAAAACAAAATAACTATGCCAATATGGCACTGGCGTTCTTCCAAGGATGTCCTGAACAGCAAACGCTGGCGTACTGATATTATTTTTTTTTAATTTGTGTGTTGCAGCATGCCCATATCACTTGAGGAGATTGGGGATTCTATGGATTCTAAAGAATTTCAGCACATAGCCCCACCACCAGAACTTGTTGCAATCCCCGCATTCCAATTCTTGAAGAGCTGAGAGCCCTCAAAGACCATATACATACATGCTGCACAGCCAGACCTCTTTTTTGTACCATCGATGTTGTAGATTTCTGTCCTTGCGGTTCCTTGTGTAAATTATTCTTTTTGGTAGGTAGGGGTTCCTTTTCCCCTATGTTTTCGTTGGCTTGGGTTGGGAAAATTATTTGCCCTCCCAAAAATGTGTCCAAAATATGAATATAGAAATTCTTAGTTTTTTTGTAGGCATGGTAGGGTTGTAGACACTCAAGCGCCACGCTTGGGTTACCTTATCCTGCACAACTTGTAGTTAGTAACATTTTTTTAAAAAGCCATATCGATTCCATTTTATTGTACAGAACTACTGGAAAATATCAATAAGTTAAATCATTTTTTTTTCGCAAAGGAATTTCTGTTTAACATTTAAGTTCAATTGCTGTGCAAGAGAGCTGCGTTGGGATAAGGAAACAAATGCTAATTCATCCCGAACCAAACGCATGCTAATGGGTGGTTGGATGTTGGGGATGGTTAAAATTACTATAGAAATGTTTATATTATATTGTGTGCAAAATTTGAATCTATAAATACTTATATTTAGGGGGTGTTTAGATCCCACCTCAAAATTTTACATCCTATCACATCGAACATTTGAACACCTGCATGAAGTATTAAATATAAGCTAAAAAACTAATTGCGACTAATTTAAGAGACGAATCTTTCAAGTCTGATTGTTCCATGATTAGACAATGTGGTGCCATAGTAAATATTTACTAATGATAGATTAATTAGGCATAATAAATTTGTCTCGCGGTTTAGTGACAATTCTGTAATTAGTTTTTTATTAGTGTCCGAACACCCCATGCGACACCCTATATAATACCTGATGTGACACGTCAAAACTTTACACCTCTGGATCTAAACACCCCTTAGAAACAGAGATAACAAGTTAGATGAATAGTTGTACACCGAATAAACATAAGCAACAAAAGAGTTGGGGTGAGGGGAGAAAGGAAAGTAAATCATGACTTTTTTTGTTTTTTTTTTTGCCATGTAAGAGGCTTCAAAACAAAGGATAGGGTTAGACGCACAAGTATCTATGTGAATACATGAAACAAAATTGTGGACCATTGGATCTAAAATGTGCATCCTGGATTAAGTAGTCTACCCACGCATCCCCTCATTACATGTTATGAACTGTTCCCCACGCAGGCTATGTATATTTGCAGATGCACCATTTCATTTCCCCTTCCTATTATCCAAGTGAAGGCTCTCAGTCACATTTTATCATTTCCTAACGTTTTCGTTTTCTAATTTCTTCTTAGAATTAGGCTATTCTAGAACATAAAGAATCCGCTGTTCGCATCAAACTTGACATGACCAACTGTGGATGGGAAGCTTCTTTTAAAATGTCAGTATTGTCCATCTTAAAAATTACATTTGAAAATGTTGTTATAACTTTTAATGTTTCATGAGACATTTAGCTTGACATGAGCACGAACCCACAGAAGCAGGCACGCTGAGCTCGTGCACCACGGTGGTGGGCAGATGGATCCAAGAAAGCGGAGGAATATGAGAAAGATCGGTACTTAGCTCGTCGAGTTGTCATCGTAGCCCTTCATCTATCCTCCACTATTCATCTCCTGCCACCATTCCTCGGCCATATTTGTTGTCTTCAGGTCGGCGGCGCCCAGATCTAGCAAGAGGAGATGGGAGGAGGAACCACTGCTCTAGATTGGGCTGCGAATGACCCCTTCCCACTGTCGCCATTGAGATAAGGGAACCGAGCTCAGCACTGTGAGGTCCCATCACCTCCCTCTGCCTCGTCGCAACAGCTGTCAATTGGATCAAATTGGATGCCAGACCTCTCCCTTACCCGCAACCATATCCTCCCTTCCTCTATCGACGTCATTGTGCTCGGTAAGATCGGGTGCTCCTTAGGTCGGCGACAACCGGATCTGGATGGAGGCTGGCTTAGAAGGAGAGTGACATGTTGGCGAGGGGAAAGTGTTGGAGTTTCTGACCACCGGTTTTGTCGGCCTGTCGGGGAAAGGGAGGAGGAGAATTTCTCGAGGACGAGTATTCGACAAGGAGGATTCAAGGGTGACGTGGTCTGTTCAATTGGAGGGGGTGGGGGTGGGCTTAGCTGCTCTCAGCCGAGTGGGCGTGGCTTAAATACGGCCGTTTAGGTAGGTTTACTTGCGGTTTATAATAAAACAGGAGGTAATATAGTATCACTTTCGTTTTTTTATCATGAACCGGTACCAAAAGAGTTATATTTGCTGGTTCATCGGTTCCGATGGCCCATGTGGTAATGAAATTGATAGAGATATATAATTTGAAGATATAAACACACAAACCCAAAGAGAGAGGGAGGAGGGATGGAGTATCAAACTGATGGGAGAACTTTAGGTCACGACTCATGAACTGCCATTTGTGCATATGCATCATTGCAGGATTGGGAGTTCTCAGGAGCTGTGATTTGTTTGTTACCATGCAAAGATTTGGGTAATATTGTAGTGAACACATTACATGTGTGCGATCTCCAAAGATGCTTCTACAAAACTGTTACTGGTAATATGTGCCATTTTCTAGGCACACCCTACCGCTACAAAGACACCATAAAATTCCTTTGGGGAGGGTGCTAGTAATCGTTCAACAAGAGAACAACGGTCGATTCCCAAATGATCGGTCAGTCGCCTGAAGACAGATTGAGTGCCGAGGTTTGTCAAGGCGATGTTTACAGGAAACCCTCTACAAACCCTCTAACATGTTTAAAAAAAATCATTTTTTTCTTTCTACAATTGTAACATGTTCAGACCAGCTGTGAGAACTGAAACCAAAGTCAAGTACTGTAACTGAACCCTCATTGATCCCTCAATATTGAGCATGTCAAAACATTAGAAGGGGAAAACTAAAATGTATAAGTTCATTATATGATTCGACCCAATATAGTTGTTTAATGTAGAGAAAATGAAAATGATTGGCATTGCTAGAATAAGAGTGGTTATGCGCGTATGCAGTAAACGTACACATGCATGTGCTCTGTCAGGTTAAGCTATACAGCCTACAACTACAAACATTGAAGGTAGCACTACGTGCAGCAGCACTACCACTCCGTACTACAAATCGAACAAGCTAGCGAGCACCACATACGACCACATGCATGGCCATAAAAGCAACAGGTAAATTGTTTCTTTACAATGACAACTCTAAATGATCAACATCAAAAAAATACGTAACCAATGTCCAATACCCTATTCCCCCTTCCACATTATGGCCACCCTGTAGTTAGGTTTGGGAGCCTCCTCAGCGATTTATTTTTAAAAAACCTTTTTATGTTTTAATTTTAAAAATAAACTCTCCCAAAACATTACTAAAACTTTGGTAATCAATGTGGCTTCGGCCGGTCTCTTTACATGGGGTCCCTCACGGAGAAAAGTTTATAGAAACAGTGAAGACGCTGGATCACCTCTTTCACATCATCGAGGATTACACTCGAGGGGAGGAAGATACAAAGCATATAAATGAAATACAAACCGAGTTCAACCAAGCGGCGGCACATGCCGAAGCCCCACCTGCTGAAGTGGTTGTCCTCGGCACCTCCCCAAGGCAGAACCCATCACCGATTACATGGAAAAAAATTATGAAGCAACAAAGGAAAGCAAGTGATGATGGTCGAGAAGGTCTAAGTCTTGCGAAAGAACTTTACAGCAAGACAGGGGAAAGAGCAAGGCCACGCTCAGAAGAAGCAAAAAAAAAAAAAAGAAAAGTACTATTTGTACCATAACAAGTCCTCGCACACAATAGACCAGTGCTGCAACATGCAACAGCTGGGGCAAGCACAATCAGCACCGCCAAACAGCTGAGGCGGCGAAGAAGACATCAAGCCTACGGAGGGTAACAGACCGATGCACGTGAAGGTGATGGTGGAAGGCCAGCGAAGACTTATACAAGTCATCACCAACTGTTCGCATCGAAGAGGAAAAAAAAGACATCATCGGGTGGTGAACCATATCGCGTCGAACCTCAAAACCAAGGCTGCCATACTAAAGAATTGCGATCACCTTCAGCCCTGAAGATGCGAAGGGTATCCTTTTTCCTCATCAAGACCCTCTCATTATATCAGGAAGAACTAATGCGAGGTTCACCGGGTGCTGGTTGATGGAGGAAGTTCGGTAGACATAATCTTGCCGATGCCTACCGAAAGATGTGACTGCCGATGCTAGCTCTCTCATAAGTCGTGGTCCCACTACAAGGATTCGGTGAGGGCTCGGTACAGGCCCTGGGCCAAGTACAATTTCAAGTCCCCTTCGGAGTCACATGCCCATTGGCTCGCATGGCAGGTTCCCACAATTCAAGCTGATCCAAACAAAGTTTTCATGCAAGAGATCAGCGGTCCAAAGGGTTATCTCATCGATCGCCATCCTCGCATCTGAGCATGAATAGAGACCAAAATTATCTGTAGACACTTGCACACACTTTTCAACTTTCTCACGAAAATTGCATTGAACCGCTAGATTACCGCACATCACCCTTTTATTGTGTTATAGATCTCTTAAAAATGTACAGTCAATTTGGGTCTGCACATGCACATACCAAAATGATAAATCTAGCGGCGAATTTGAGTAAACTAATTTTTTTATCCCATTTGTTACTTTTATTTCACCATGCATTGATTGAAATTAACCTTGCAAGTTTGTGGAAGGACTGTGACACGTCCGTAGAATTTTTGTAGTATTACAGTCCCTAGAATATTTTTGGCTATGGATGGTGTAACTACTATTCATAACAAGAATTGTTCATAATGTTTCTCACTGTTTATATTGACGTTGGGTTTAAATGTGAGATGGTACATGCTTATTGTACCAAGGGTGAAACTATTTTATTGATAACTAATTATGGAGTGATAACCAAATAAAGGCACATATTTATATATAAGGTGTAAAATTCAAAGTCATAACTTTGATACTGTGTGATGGTCAGCTCCCATGCATATGCTGAAACATATTCCCTCCGTCCCAAAAAAAAAGGCAACCTAGTACTAGCTAGGATGTGAGTATGTCCAGATTTGTTGTAGTAGGATGTGTCATATCGTAGTACGATGTTGAGTTTTTGGACGGAGAGAATAGACATGAGACACCATGATATCAACTCTAGAATGCCATGTTTCTTGAAAAATACTAAAAATCTACCAATATTAAAAGTTTCGTTTTAAATTGTGCTAGCACTTGCTACCCATATGTACGTTCTCCACAGATAAAATTTATGACTAGTTCTCTATATAAATATGCGCTCAATCGTTTTAGGTAACAACTAGAATGATGTAGGAGTATCAAAAGAGAGAGGGCAACAAGAGAGTCAAGATATACTAGTGGATATGCAAGATGAAAACAAAATTAACTGCTTGCATGCTAGCTAGTTAATTAAAGCAGTAGATAATCTCTGTTGTGAAGCAAAACTCCCTAGCTTGTGTGTAAGATCCTCCTCCTGTGATAGGCATGCGTGGCATTAGGAATTTGGATGTACTGAATGTACACCGGTAGGATCCACTGAACCAGAGGCAGTCGAGAGAGTACCCTTGCAAGGTCGCCACGTCTCTTCATTTTCTGACAAGATACTCAAAACCCATCTCCTTGATTGATACTGCGCCACTCCGCTTGCTTGGTGGTGTTAAGTTGCATGCTACTCTATTGAGGCAATGTATGAAGGATGTAGCAACTCCCTGTCTTTTGCTCTGTGGTTCTCTGTCGTGTTTACAAGTGGCTGACAACCCAAGAGGTGAAGTATGCACAAAATGCATGAAGGTATAAATTAGGTTGAGCATATCGATGTGAAATGGTGTAGAACATTTGGGAGAATCATAATTGATTGTTTGTCTATCGAGTCTTTTGATGTGTTTGTGTGTGTCATGTTTCTTTAATTTAGTCCTTGTCTTCACAATTTCCTTACATGGAACACAATTTGGATTTGTTATTATGCACAAAGACTGCTCACTCGTGTGCTCGAGAATTTCACTACTACAAATTCGTTGCATGAGAAAATCGTACCAGTATTTTTATTTCACCCAACTTGTGCACGTGATACTTGGAGCTTGGCAATATTTGCTATCCTATTCTAATAAGTGATCTTGTTGTATGAAAAAAAAGAAAGCAAGGAGCAATATTCAGCATTCAACAATTAATAATTCTTCCGAGTTATCTTTTTGTTTAACACAAATGAACTGTACTACAAATGCATAACACAGACATGCACCAAGCTTGTGACACCAAACAAAATGGAGGAATCAACAAGAGCAATAAAATCATATAACTAGCCTCACATTTTTCTGCCCAACTCTGGGCAAACACAGTATTGAGTATTAGTTTAATCTAGTGAAATGAGAAGAATGTCGTCCTATGGTTTCAAGAATCATATGATATATTGCAGTTATGTGCTCTACTAATCCTTCAGGCTGAGTTAGTTACAACTTACGAGCATTGAAGTTTGAACTACTGTAGTTGATGTAGAACAAGTGAGTACCACTTGCATTGTGCATCCTTAAAAGCAACAGCGTCATGGAGAGGCCGGGAGCCCGGGACTTGTTGCAATAATAACTTGAACAAGGTGATGCATAGACAGTTAACTGAGCCTGGAGCCAAAGAGTAGATACAGTCTCCATGGCTCCAATATAATGGCCCATTTATATGAAACCATCCACATTGCTATCATGCTAGAGCTAGGATTGGGAGTAATCAGGAGCTTGCAGCAGAGCTTGCACCGAGACTGCATGTTATTAACCGCACGATTGCTATCAATGTTGAACATGTAAGGTCGTCTTCTTTCGCCAAGATTCGCTGGCGGTGCAGTTGGAGAATAATTTGCCACACTTTGCCATAATTTCTCTCAGAGATTTCGTCGATGACTTAGAAAAGTGTGGGAATATTCTCTTAGATTTACTAAAGCGGTAGCAACATATTTGAGCATATGACCTTACTCAAGTTTGGCAGCTTTGTGCATACGCACCTGTTATGTTTCTCAACACTCGAATGTAATTTCAATAATTATATATATATAAATCTTGAAAGGAATTCAAAAATATCTATGTGATAAACCTCTATACCATATTGTGAAAATATAAATAAAAATTTTGATATACACAAAGAGGAAAAAAAAACAAATTCAGTGATGAATAGTATTGGTACTGCTCATATAACCAAATCTATCGATGAATAGTATTGATACTGTTCATATAACCAAATCTATCTTTTTTTGTGAGATGTACATATTGAAGTTAGCATTGTATGTTTGTAAACTGACATGTACCACTGTAATCTATTTTATTAATTATCTCTTGGAATTTTTCATGACCACGTAACTAAAATGTAAGAAATGAGTATATGTGCATATATATACTTGAAATTGTAAATTGACTTCCCTTTTGTACTTGAGTTGTAAAACACATAATTCTAATTCGATTCACATCCACTCTGCGGTAGAGAGCGATGTTTAAATTTCAAAAGTTTGATCAAACTTGTCCTAAGCATTAAATATTCATGAATAAGAGTAAATGTGGAACTGAAAATGTGGAACTGAAACACCAAGCTTGTGATCAAAGAACATTTTGTTGAAAATATGATACATGGGCTATCAATATGGATCTCTGGTTTCTCGAGCAGATCAAACAAGCAAAATGAGCACCATTACGAGTGGTCCATGAGTGGTGGATGCCACTGGTCACCAGTAAGGGGCTAATCGTTCACACCCTCATCCTACTAGCATGATGAGGAATTAGGAAAAAGGTCATGTTATTTTCTCCAACAAGAGTTGGATGAAGATTAAGATTTTTGTGGCACGTTTTTCAAACTAATAAACGGTGTGTTTCGTGCGAAAACCTTCTACTCTAAAATATCATATTAATCTATTTTTCAGGTTTGTAATAATTAAAACTCAATCAATCATACATTAATATCCCCTCATTTTACGTAAAAAACTTAATCTTAATCTTCATCTTCGGGAGAAAAGAACACCATCAAAGAGAAACAGAGAGTGTTGCTGGTTTGGTAAAAATGGATTTCATGGCAACCCAGAGAGAATCGAGCTCCGTACCGCGGGGATTTCATGGTAATAATTAAAAATGGTTTGGTAAAAATGGATTTCATCCCTAAAAGGGATGATGATCCGTACCTGAAAAATAGCCTCCGCTACGCTCCGGCCCAAGCCTACCGACGATGGGCCTCCGCTCCACTACGGCAGAAGCTGGCCTTTATTAAGTGCAAATGAATTTAGATCACAACTCAACAACATATACATGGCATGATGTGCAGCATCTAGTTTTGGCTTTCAACTGGATCGGCATCGGCGAGATTCACGCAGCCTGACTTAAGGCTGCTGCTCGTCTTGATCGATTCTACCGTGGAGTCACGCGTAAACCGCATCATTTCTTGGTGCTGTGCCTCTCTGATGCATATGGCAAGCGGATAAATTGATTTGAATGAATTTATGTGAAAGGAAATGCCGAATGTGCGCGGCAAAAATCAACTACTCTCTCCGTCCTAAAATATAAACATTTCTAGCTACGAATCTGTACAATTTAGTGCCTTTGCTTACTCTTTGCCTTTAGCATCTTCTTCCATTAAAACAAAATTTGTGCTGAGACTTTGCTGTATGAGAATTGATGTGTGCTACGAGAAAATATCTCCACTATATTTGTTTCGCCATGCGCAAATTGTGCATGTACATATAAGATTTCAAACTAAATTAAAATTTGCTATACTGATGCAATATTCAGCATTATAAATTAATGATCCTTTATACTTTTCCAGTGCAACAAGGAGGGTTTTCTTAAAGGTACTACACAATTCTATACTTTCTATATAAAGTTATATCCCATAAATATATTATATATTAAAAGTCCATTAAACTTCCTACGAACGCTCTCAAGCCGCCATCTAGACTCCTACAAAAGTTTCTAAACCGCCATGCGGCACTCTAATAATTTAAAGAAAATTCTGAAAAAAAAGAGAAAAATATCTAACCGTCAGTTTTCATTTAAAGTAGTGGACCTAATATTATTGACAATTGGATCAATACCAAATTACATATGGTAGTTGCAATGCTTATTTATTTGATTGCTTGATTTATCATTGACATTAGGCAGGATAATTATGTATGGCATCCGCGTGCTCGATTGATGCATGCATCCAATTCTTAATTTTATTTTTATTTACACGATATACATGTACACCATAATTTGTTATCATGAATTATTAGATCTATTTTTAATGGATACTAATATGGGCGTGAACTTGCAAGCACTAGGTATTTACAATAGGAGTGATCTTGGTGCTGTAAATAAATAATTATTTTTAGACGATCTACACGTTTAATTTATGATACATTTGAGCAGCCGTAGTTTTTAAATTAAATCAACAATTCAAGACCATGATGGCTAAATGTTTACTAGTATATCATATTATATCTTACGGGTCCCCCTCTCACATATTTTATACAACCATGTATTCATGATATATAGCATTCCAAAAATAATTATTACACAATTATATTTAGCCATCCAATCATATTCATAATAGGCTATGTGGAGCCTCGCACACACTCTAAATGAAATGTTCACAGATGGATTGCCTATCAAACTATGCAATCATATTAGGCTTAAGAAATCCATGTATTTAGTGTAGCCTCATGTCCTACCTAATACATCTGTCAATAAACAATGGACAACCTAATATCAGTAATCCAATTAAAAAAAAGAGTGAATTGCATTTTGGGCTAGGCTTTATTACCCAAGTTGCATTTTAAACCATACATCCATATGCCTTTTCACTTTACACTAGGTTTTGTTACCAAACTTTGCAATATGGCCCTATGGCCCGCACGTCAGAGCGTTCTCCAACAACGCCGGTGATCTCTTCTTGTTTCTAATCATAGCCGGCACCAGATTGATGAGAAACAAGAGAGAGATGCCGGACTGCTCAAGCTCAAGATCTTGATGTGAGCGGAACAACATAATAGAAGAGGGAGGGATGCAAGGGAAAATGGAGACATGAACACAGAGACAATGGGTTTGGGACTTTGGGGAAGAAGAGGTCAGAGCAAAGATTCATGTCTTGCTCTGTTAGTGAGCTCGACTTTCGTCAGGCGCCGGGACTCGATGTACACTCTCTACTCACACCTTGCGCATCTTGGTGGACTACTTCAGCAAAACGTCCCCGTTTGCTGCTCATCGCAAAGGATTTGACGTGCCCCAGTTCCCAAATTAAAATCAATGCAGCACCTGATATGAAGATTGAAGCCATTTGAGGCTCCTAATTGCCAAATCAAAGCAGGAAACAGGAGGACCTTCCAGGCTTCCAATACTCAAACAAACGCAGGAAATGGATAGATCCTACCTGACTCCCTGCTACAGCGAGGAGCTGCAAGCTGCTTCCTTCATGAGCTCAACAAGTTTGGCAAGACGCTGGAGAGGAAAGAGATGAATAGCTGGACAGGAAAGTGGTGCAAAGTGAATCCTTTTGTAAACTTCTCTGGCCCAATGTAAAAATCTAGTCTTTTTCCTAGTCCAAGTTGCAACTTTGGTAAAAATAAGTGGCTGCAATTCACTCTAAAAGAATGGAAAACCCCTTTCTTTTAGTTTACACTTAATTTGGTAGGCATGTTTTCTAAACAAAATAAGTCTACCTTCTATTTAGATGATGAAGAAGATTACAAACAATTGCATACAGAAATTATTTAAATATGATATAGGAGTAGTATAAAGGTAACTAATAGGTTATAATTTTATAAGCAATGCTAACGAAAAAAAATTGTGGAGAAACCGTACTTTTAAAGAGTGGCATATATTCTCTAGTTAATATTCCATCTTTATTTTGATAAAAAAATATTTCATCTTTATAAATTTCTCAAACCCAACCTAAGATGCTTGCCCACGCATTCACGCGGGCTATCTTTCTAGTTAAAGACTAAAGCTCAATATGCAACCATGCCACGTCATCACCGACTAGCAATAATTCCATATCTAACCTTATACAAGTGTACAACATCATCTTCAATTTATTTAATTCTACAAATCAACATGCAACCATATCGAACAATCATCGCTCATATCATTTGCATAATATTTTAACAAATTCATCTATCATTTTTATACTGTTGAGCATATACTTATAAATATGTTTCACATTAAAGCGCGGGTATGATTTGTTTGTTTCATATAAGTACCGATAAATCTCGATGTTTCATTTTTTTTCCTTTTTACTCCTAACTTAATTGTAAAAATATATAATGAGAATTTCTTAGTAATTCCCGCAACAAAGCGCGGAGAATCACCTAGTACACGAGAAAGCATGCACCAAGCTAGTGACTACAGAAAATGGACGAATCAACTATCAACAAAATCATAACTAGCCTACCCTACGGGTTTAATCCACTACAACATAGACAATTTTTCATACTGTCAAAATCGATTTTCACAAGCGGATGGGTGGACCCGCCTGTACCCAGGAATCTGCGAAATTCGCTATTTTTGCATGTGACGAGCAACCATATGAGAAAAATACAATTTTGCATGCGGGCGCTTAAACCGTCCATCTGAAAAAAGAAAAATCAGCCAAAAAATTAAAATTCTGAACAAAATCCGAAACCCTAGCGGTCATCGCCACTGTCGCTCTCATGCCCGGAGCCATGCGCACCCCCACCGAGCTCCCCACAACTAGGATCCGCACGGCGGAGCCATGTGCCAAGCGCCGCCAAGATCCCCACAGGAGGTGGAGAACTGGATCTACCGCCGCCGAACTCCCTGGCCCTTGCCGCTCCCTCTCCTGCTCACCGCTCCTGGATCCCTCCAGCGTCGGCCACTCCTGGTCTTGCTCGCTGCCGATAGAGAGGAGAGGAGAGGAAGTGGAGATGGAGGATCCACCGCCGCTGAGCTCCCAGCCGCTAGATCCCTTCGGCGTCAGTCACTCCCGCCCACCACTGACGGAGAGGAGAGGAGGAGGAGGTGGAGCAAAGGTGGAGAGGAAGTGGAGGAGGTAGAGTAAGTGGAGAGGATGAGGATGAGATGAGATGAGAGAGAGAGAGGACTTGATATTTAAGAGCGAGTTTGATTTGGTGGGCTGGTGGCAGGCATACCTCTTAAGAGGCCCACCTACGTAAATTGATTTTCGCAAGTGGGGTAGTTAAGAGGCCCACCTACGAAAATTGATTTTCGCATGTGGCCCTAACCCTAAACTCAGAGACCCGCGCTCAGTGCAGTGATTTTGACATGTAGAAATAGTTATGATCCGCCTGCAATCTTAAGGACTCTCTTAAAAAAAATTCGATTATGTAGTATTACTTAAAGGAACGAGAATCATGTCGGGTATTTGAGAGAAAAAGAAAAAAAGCAACCATGTCATGTGGCATTCCAAGCTAGTTGAGTAATGAGCATTTAAGGACGGTACTACGCAGTACACTATACACGTAGCGCGTAGACAAGCGAGCACCACTACGCATGCTCTTAAAAGCAACAACAAAATTGTGCCACCGTGATTTTCCTTATTGTGTCCATAATAGTTCCAAGAAAGCTGTATAGCTAGGAATGAGAGTAATCAGGAGATGGCAGCACGGACACATTGAGGGGACATGTAAACTGACCGCGTGAGAACGGTCTGCACTCCATAGTGAAGGTCGCGTGGTTTCACCGAGATGCACAGCCAGAGGTGGTGGCACAGCGACAGGGCGACAAGGGGTTTTCCCTGCTTCGGCTACTAGCGGACGAGAGCTTGCGCGAGTTTGGATGAAACTGTAAGGCGTATCCTTGCCGCGATCAAGTATGGCACGCATCTCATCGCCGTCTGCACGCATTATATTTGTTCCGTACCTGACCGGAGGCAAATCCGCAGCTTTGCACCAGTATGGTATTCAAATGTGTGTTCTATAATTTGCATCGGTAGAGCCTCTAGCCAAAATTCACCACACACACCTCTTTAAAATCCGCTAAAACTGGGACTCATTTTTCTTTATGAAACTGCCTGTGTGTTTTGGCAGCATCAAAATTAACAAAAGTCTCAGGCTGAAACATTTGCCAAGGCAAACCACCCAAGTACCTTAAGGTACCGGTACCTCACGGAACCAAATCGTTCCCGATCGTTAGATCTAACAATGCCTATCCTGCCCAGCTAGATCTAATGATCAAAAATGATTTAGTACCGTAAGGTACCGGTACTTCGAGGTACTTTTTATTGGACCTGAGTAAATCTGCTATATTGTACCACATCATCAAGAAACGTGCACCAAGCTTGTCACCAGAGAAAAATGGAAGAATCAACCATCAACAAAATAATAACTAGCCTCACGATTTTCCCCCAACCATGACTAACAGAGAACATGGGAACCCTGTCCTGTAATCTATCTATTATCTATCTTCTATTATCTATCTATTATCTATCTATCTATCTATCTATCTATCTATCTTCTATTATATACTAAAAGTCCATTAAACTCCCTACAAACGCTCTAAAACCGCCATGTGGCACTCCTACAAACGCTCTCAAGCCGCCACGTAGCACAGTCTAATCCCACCGTCGATTTTCACTTAAATTGGTGGACCCGTTATTTTACACCATTAGATTAAATTATTATTAAATATAATACCTTCCTCCTCTATGGACGATACAAACGGTACCACTGTTCCCCCTGCGTACGTACTTAAGATTGATAACAAAACAATAGTTTTACCTCTTATTGCTGGAAGGAAAGCACGGAGATATAAAAAGACAGTAAAAATACAAACGTCCGTGCTATTGTCGGGAAAAAATGACGGTTTCTAGAATTGGATTTTTCTAATATATATATATATATATATATATATATATATATATATATATAGTCCATTAAACTCCCTACAAACGCTCTAAAACCGCCATGTGGCACTCCTACAAACGCTCTCAAGCCGCCACGTAGCACAGTCTAATCCCACCGTCGATTTTCACTTAAATTGGTGGACCCGTTATTTTACACCATTAGATTAAATTATTATTAAATATAATACCTTCCTCCTCTATGGACGATACAAACGGTACCACTGTTCCCCCTGCGTACGTACTTAAGATTGATAACAAAACAATAGTTTTACCTGTTATTGCTGGAAGGAAAGCACGGAGATATAAAAAGACAGTAAAAATACAAACGTCCGTGCTATTGTCGGGAAAAAATGACGGTTTCTAGAATTGGATTTTTCTACTATATATATATATATATATATATATATATATAAAGATCTTACCTACTGTTGCGGAAGGAAAGCAAGGAGATAAAAAATACAAAGCCAAGAAAAACATACGTCTGTGGTACTATCGGGAAAAAAATGGTGGTCTTTAAAAAATGATTTTTCTACAATATAAAGATAAAATATATTATTTGATAAATATAACTATGTAGTTAAACTAAAATCTATAATAAAAATATATATATCCAATCGTTAAACCATATTATATAATTTTTTTATTAAAAAAACTTGCGTCCGTGGTATCGTCGGAGAAAAAATTGATGGTCTTTATAATAGGATTTTTTACAATATAATGATCTTACCTACAGTTGACGGAAGGGAAGGAAAGTACGTAGATAAAAAAGACAAAGCCAAAAGAAACATATGTAAGTGGTACCGTCGGGAAAAAAATTAACGGTCCTTAAAGTAGTATTTTTCTACAATATAAAGATAAATTCGATTACTTCGTGATTTTTTTAAATGTGCTAAAATATTCAAGCAAGCTAAATGATATTTCGTGTATCACCATCTAATTGACTTTAGATGGTGCTAAATGCAGTTTTAGTAGCATGTTGTTCTGGCCTTCTACGCATTCCGGGTATCTCCGTTTATTTTTTTTTTTGCATAGACCATTCAAAAGGTGAATCATCTGTATATATGAACATTAATCGTCTTTGAATATATTTTTGTTATATATATACACACACATGAAGGATTAAATTTGGAGTCCATTTATATTTTACGATATAACAAGACATGGAAGTAGGACTAATTAAGCTTGACAAAAAATGTGATCACCACTACGATGAATCACAAGGCAATCTCCATAGGTGCAATGACCACATCTCAACACGGTGACTAGGAGCCGCATGAAAACCGTATGGCGGAGGAAAAGGAACAATGAGTTTAGCTAGGTCTTACTATTGATGTTTTAGATCATGACCATGGTATTTACATGATATGGGGATCGTTGGTACCAGGGTATATGCGAGATTGAAGTAAAAGAGACAGAGATAAGGATTTTTATATAGGTCCGGGCCCCTTCATGGAAGATAACAACCCTACTCCTGTTGGCCGAAGCCAGTGTTGCTCTTATTCATCAGAATCACACAAGTATAATAATTGGGATGGCTTATCTAATCGTTGTTGATTTGGCGACATGAGCACCAACACGTAGTCGACGACGGGGTAGTCTTCCTCCTTGAAGTACTCGCGGAGATTAAAAAATAGTGCTAGATCCCTCTTGACAGCCTTCGATGGCACCAGATTAGTTATGTCTAGGTTAATCTCCAATGTCGATATTTGGTGGCGTGTATTAGTTTGTTCTGACTTGTCTTGGTTTGTGTCCCCCCTCTCCTCCTAGGGGTCTTGTATTTATAACCATAGATACCCCCTCTCCAAGTAGAACTAGGGAGACCAATATGGATACAATTCGAGTAGTCCTTATAGTGTCCATGTAGAACTCTTTTTGTCCTTCCTTATCTGGAACTCCTTCTATATACGAGGTATGATTCTGTATAAGACTTGGCATTATGGTGGGACCGCCGAGCTGAGTCGATTACTATTGGGTATGTGTTATCCATAACACTGACACTTATGTTTTCACCAACGAGGCCCAAAGCATTCAATGAAAAAGGAAAAAGAAACACCTTGCTTTTAATTTAATAAGCATCTTTGGTCTATCTCCTTTTTAGATGATGATGATGATAATAGATAATTGCTTATATAGATTAATTAAATACTCACCACAAGGGATCAGGTCTTTTGTGATGAAAAACTTCATCACTAAAAGGCTGTTTCTCATCACAATTACCCCCCTTGTGACGAATTTTGGGGTCGTCACTATGTTGTCACCACTACTGGCGTCACAAGTAGCATAGTGATGATTTTTTTTTTCATCACAGATAATGGCTCTGTTTGTGATAATCCTATCTCAACTAATAAGCAGTACATTAGAGATGGTATCGTGGTCACAATTACAGGAGACACTAGTGACAATAGTGCCCTCACATATGTGAACGTGTAGTGATGGAATTTTTTTCTCACAATATTGTCGACAGTTAGTGCTGGTTTGCTCGTCACTACATATTACTAATTACCGATAACTCACCATCACAAATATACCTTTGCTAATAACTTTTCTCACATATGATAGGGTTTTTGTGATAAGATATTAATTTATATTGAGAAGTAAAAACCACAAGAAGTAGGATATATTGTGGTGAAATGACGTGTTATTTGTTGCAAAAACTGGTCATTCTTTACAAATGTAGTAGTGACCAAGCTAATATGTATATGTGACAATACCTTTATCACATATGAAGTAATGCATCAGTGGAGAAAAAAGGGTATTGTTGTAAGGAAAACTTTTATCACTAAAAAAATAAATATCCAGATGCAAGTTTTATATATGTGACTAAAGTCTTGCCACAAACAACACGTCTTTTATGACAATATCCAGCATGTGAACAATGACAAAATCTAATGATGAAATCTCGATAGAGCAATGGCAAGTTCAAACATTCATAACTGAGCACCCCTTTATTCATGAATGATTACAGTATGCTCGGAATAGAGCACTTCAGAACTCAATTGAAATATCACCTAAACTAAAAAGGGTTCCTCACACTAGAGGAAACTATCCTTTATTAATGAATGATAACAAAGTGCTCATACAAAGAGCATTTCAACTAAGACCATAACTAAATTGATAACTGAACACCTAAGCAACAAATGAAACTTGGGACACGGACTCTAGAATGCTCGCCTAGATGGACAAAACTTTGTAGCAACTCCACGACTCCAGTCTTTGTCATCTTGGAACTTCCTACATATAATTTAAAAATAACATTAATCGAATGACCACTAGATTGAATTAGTAATCATGTATGACGTAAGAAATCTTACTTAATTGTTTGGGGCACTTGAAGATAAAGCACCACCAGTGCCACCCATGTGTGCCCACATTGCTTTCATTCTTTCCTCAAGTTTCTGGTCCAACAAACGCTCCATGTGACCACTTTGTTCCTCTACGGTTCTTTTCTGAGAATTCAACTCTTCACGCTGAGACTGCAACTCGCCCTTTAATTGCAAGTTTTCTACTGTCAATTTTTGAACTTCTTCGAGCAAAGCAGCAGCTTGTTGATGTGCTTCATTGGCTTGCTGTTGTGAAGCTTCTGCTTGTGCATGAACTCTGTACCTCTCTTGAGCTCCCTCATTGATTGCACTAATACCAACTCCACGCGAGTGGTTTGGCTTTCTGCCAAGGACTAATGCAAAGTGTTCAACCATTGGGATTTGAGCAGCTGCAATCCTTTCCTGGTTTGTTTCAGCTGTTGTCTGCAGATTGTTCTAAACAAATCAAACCAAATATGTAAGTCCATATTAAAAAAAACTCATGCAGTAAAATGTAGGTAACAAACATTTTTGTTTACCAGAATTTCTTCGCCATTAGGAACAGACCATGTTCCATTCTTCAAATAAGTTGCCTTCCAAACATCTATAGCACTAGGCCATTCACCTGTCACTGGGTTTCTCTGCAATTATATCACATACAAAAGAAGCCTTATAATTTATATATACAAGACATGTCAAACATATAGTTTAAAGATATAAGTGAATGACAATATTCATTACCAGTTCATGTGCTATTTGCACTATAGACTTTGTTCCAACATGTGATTTCATCTCTTGCTTTGATCTGTTAATGGAATTCTGTTTGCTCCGTTTCTAAAAAACATAATAATCTCATACGAATAATGAATTATGAATCATATTGTATTAATTGTAAAGAAAATTAAACAAGTACCTGGAACTGCTCATCACTCCATAAGTTATCAATCAACCACTGCCAGTCCTCTGGCGCAACATGACTAGGACACTGTTTTGTTGTGCAATAGGTCTTGTACAGTTTGTGGCGTCTTACATTGTACTGTCGCTCAACTTGTGTCATTACACATTGGTAGTCTGCCATTGAGATCTTAGGGAATTTTGCCTACAGAATGATAGTAGATCATACGAACAAACAATGTACAAAATCATGACAGCAAAAAGAAAACAAAAATGTACAAATGAAATATACTCCAACCAGATGACATACCTTCAATAAATTCCAAATTGATGACATGGTTCCAGGAAAAGCTTTTTCAATGACTTTCCACTTCTTCACCTTAAGGGGGACCTCTTGTCGCACACAGACAGTGACCTCACTTTTAAAGACACTTGTGTGCCTACCACAGACTTTTCCAAACTGTGCAGCAAATTGAATGTCTAGCGGCACACCCCTTGCTCTCAGTTTTGCAAGTGTTCCATTAATGGTGAGACCCCTACCTTTCCTACGTTTGAGACCTAATTGAAGGAAGAACTTTTAATTTATTTGCTTGTGAAGGAATAGATTAATGAAGTGAAGGTAAATATGTTAAATACCTGTGTTTCCGGTTGGTCCCATCCGTCCCTCATTCCTAGTATTGGGTATGACTTGTCGAGTAGCATCATCCGAAGTCTCCATCTGGTTCACGGACGGACGAACTTGGGAAACCATTTTGACCTACAAAATAAGAAATGAGTACAAACAGATCTACTACAAGATTACAAACCAAATTGACTAAGATAGAAATCCCCACAAAACACCGATATACTATTAGATTGAGAACCAAATTAACTAAGAAAGAGAATCCCAATTAAAAATGGATATTAAGTTGCATCTAATTAGGAAATTAACACAAATCATAAATGCGGAAAAACAAGACGGAGAGAGTGGACGCCAGAAGGGGCAGGTCATATCCCTGCGACGCCACGCTATCATCAATAGGACTGCAGTGATTTGGAGATGATGGTTGTGTGATTGTGTCCTGGCAGTGGTGGGTGTAATCTCTCAAAGATGGATGTACTCTAGGGCTATGCAGTGAATAAAAATTGGGGAATGCCGAATGGATCCTATAGGATTGCGAGGATAGCAAAGAGCCATAGTATATTTGTTTCTTTACCTTTGACTGCAAGTGTGTGCAGGGATCGAGAACTCTAGATGCGAATGGATTGTACTATATGGGCAGCCTTATATAGCGAGGTAACTCTGTCAATTTGGCGGGAGTAAAATTTTGCTGGCAATTACTTTTTGAGGGAAAGTATGTTTTGCTGGCCGATTTATGCGTGCGTGCATAACAAATTAGTTTGTTTGTGCTGATCCAAAATATTTGTTCACCAGCATTTGTTAACAACCTCTCATAAACAAATATGGCAATTGTTTAATGAATCAATAACCTGTGGAGTGAAAAAAAATGATACACACATGCACATTAATTGTTGATGTGGGTTGGCACCAGCCACGTGTACCTAGAGATGGACACGTTTAGTGTTGCACACATGCTCAGCTGTAATTTATCCCTTTCATAATGCAGGCTTCAGGTCATCAATGTTCAGTGATCAGCATTAAATTAATATCTGCTACCACAAGATATTGGCGTCATATAATGGATAGTAGATGTGCAGTCAATTCATATGATACGAGCAGAAATATTGACTGTTAAAAGTTTTACTTGTAGTGCTAATGTTTTTTAAAATAAAAGGACGATCAAAATTGAGCGCGGGTACTCATGGTTACACCTAAAATGAGACGGAGAGAGTATTCACTTCACCCTACTCACTTCATAAAAAAAAATCAACATCGTCCTAGTAAACGAATATGAACATAAAGTATGTCCAGATTCATTGTAGTAGGATATATCACATTCTAATGCTATGTTGCCTTTTTTTGACATAGGGAATATAGGATAAAGCTTGGATGACGAGCCAACATTTAGGCTTGTTACCTTAGAGCAGGTTGTGTTCGAGAGGTGGAGTTCGGAACCACCTCCCTGCATGGAAAACTAATAAGCCAGCTCATTAACATTAACAAAGCTAATACTAAAAGCTTAGCTTGGCTCAGCTCGTGAGCTGGTTCATTAATAAGCATATGCTCATTATCTAAAAAAAATAATAAGCATATGCTATATTAGATGCTAGACATCTGGCAAAATCATGTCTCTGCCATAGGGTATCGTGGTCTTGTGATAATAATTTGTTGGAACACATTGTCTGCTCTGACGGCATAGCACGTTTTAGCAAATTATCATGATACTGTAATTATCTCCATTTTTTATAATTAAAAAATATTTATGATTTTAATATAAAAAACAAAAATAGGCTAGAGGGCCACGCCGAATTGCTTGTTTTTGACCTCACAGGATCACCGCCCATGTCGCTTGCCACCGCACATATGACGGAGCTAAGAAAAACTGTACAACAAACCTGCAATGGATAAATCTTCCATGCCCGCCTATAGATTAAATGTTGTGTACCAGTGCTTCCCGCTAAATTTCCAATTTCCCTCGTTGTTTTCTTTTGTTCCCGCAATTTTTCGGTGGAAGCTGGTATCCTTCAAAGGGCTATAAATAGTCATCGCAAACATCTGGAGATAGTTGGAGGTACTGAATCTGACCTAGTAAGCACTTTTGGGGGAGCAACACAGTTGATAATCTAGAGGAGTTAGGATCTGGGGTGGTGGCAAGTAAAGCTGCAATGGGCATAGACTTGAATATTGCGTCTGCAGGTGGAGATGATGGATTAGGAGAAGCATGCAGGAAAGCTGCTCGTGGCATTGAAGGAGATTCAGAGGCAATCTACTTCAGCTAAACGGAGGATTGGTGATGAAAACAATCGAGATGAAGAACCACACAAGAAAGCTGCTCGGGGCGTTGACTTGAATGTCATGCCTGACCGAGATGATGAAGAAAACCAGAGACAATCTACTCTTGCAGCATTGAAGATTGATTTAGACGAAAGCCCTGTACATGAAGGAGAACCGCAGAAGGAACAAAACATTAGTCAACTCGATGAGAACGCGAAAGCCTTCATATCTGAATTGAGGAAGATGTATTTTCCTATTTTTGCACGATTCGATTATTAGTACTCTCCATCTATTTTATTTCATATTACATTCTGTTTCATATATGTTCAAATAATTGAGTCGTGATCTATGTATCCAATTTCTTGGTGATTGTATCTATAAGAAAAGTATTTTTTTAGGCACCAATATTATTGTATTGCAATTATTTCTGACACATTTATGTGACATAGATTTATTGTTCTGTTTCCCTACATTTGTCGGGCTCTTATTCTGTTTCCCCACTTTATCCCTAGCGTATATTTTCTTTTCACCTAGTTGGATTCATATTCTGCTTCCCTACTTTATCCCCAGCGTATATTTTCTTTTCACCTAGTTGGATACATATTCTGTTTCCCTACTTTATCTCCAGAGTAGATTTGTTTTGACCTGCTGGTATATATATGTACCTGGACGCATCCTCCATGATGCCCTAAAACATCGTAGACTGCACAGTACAAGCCTGAGATTGATTCTTCAATTGACGCCGTCTAACTTTGTATGGTATCCCTTTTCTTATTATTAGTTTTTGCAAGTAGTTGTTTATTCTTTTCGCAAAACAGTATTCCACAACTTTCAATGTGAGGTGATAAATTTCATTTTTCAACTATAGTACTAGTGATGTTTATGTGCATATATCGTTACATACTTGTCCAGCATATACAATTTGTCTCGTTTACTATCATGTTTGCAAGCATATAAAAGAAATCGCGTTTACTATCAGGTTTGCAAGCATTTTATTTCCATGGACAAAAGTTGGATGAACATCAATAGAACTCTTCCTCAATATCAGGATGGAGTTAATCAATTTATTCAGTTTGCATTCAAAGATTACGATGTGGATAAGTTGCTTCGGTGTCCATGTAGAAAATGTAGAAATAATCACTTTGCTAATCGGAATGAAATATGTGAGCATCTAATGATTCATGGAGTGAATAAAGACTACACAACATGGGTTCATCATGGAGAAACCATACCAGAATCTGATGAAGATGCAAATTGTGAGATGGAAGATCAAGCTGGGTTTCGTATGGATGAGATGACGAATGATTTCTGGAATGCTGCCAATGCAAACAGTGACTCATCAGTAAACATTACAACACTTGATGCACAAGAGGATATGGGTACCAATATAATAATTAATGAGGAGACCACTAAATTCCAGAAATTAATAGATGATGCAGAACAAGAGCTCTATCCTGGATGTGATAGTTTTTCAATTTTATCTTTTATTGTCCAAATGTTGAATATCAAGTGCCTTTATGATCTTAGTGGGAATGCAATGAATGCTCTATTTGGTACATTGTGCAGCGCTTTTCCTAGCAACAATAAAGTCCCCAAGTCTTATGATGATGCTAAAAAGATTATGTCAAATTTGGGGTTAGATTATATAAAGATTTATGCATGTTTGAACGACTGCATTCTTTTCATAGGTGAATATGCTAAAGCTGAAACATGCCCTGTTTGTGGAATTTCAAGATGGAAAGAGGATGGAGAAAATAGTGCTCGCAAGTCAAGGAGGAGAAAAGCTAGGAAAGTTCCGCAGAAGGTTTTATGGTACTTTCCTTTGATCCCAAGATTAAAGCGTATGTACATGTGTTCAAAAATAGCTGTTCATATGCGATGGCACAAAGAGAAGCTAGTTGATGATGGATATATGAGACATCCAGCAGATTCTAATGAATGGAAGAACTTTGACAAGAATTTTGAATCATTCGCATTGGACGCGCGGAATGTTAGGCTAGGCCTTGCTAGTGATGGATTTAATCCTTTTGGAAATATGAGCTCATCGTATAGCATATGGCCAGTTATTATTGCTATATATAACTTACCACCTTGGATGTGCATGAAAGATTCTTATATGATAATGTCAATGCTTATCCCTGGGCCTAAAGCACCTGGAAATGACATAGATGTATACTTGCAGCCATTGATTGATGAATTGATACAGCTACGGGAAGGCGTGCCAGCCTATGATGCTCATGCAAAGTCCTCCTTTAAGCTACGGGGAATGCTGCTTTGGACAATCAATGATTTCCCTGCATTTGGTAATTTATCAGGCATGAGCACGAAAGGAAAATATGCATGTCCTTCTTGTCACATGGACACTTGGTCCCATAGGCTCGTTAATGGACACAAATACTGCTATATGGGACATCTTCGCTTCTTGCCAACAAGACATTCATGGAGGAGCAATGCAAAATCTTCTGATGGCCAAAAGGAAAGACGTAGCGCCCCAAAAGCGTTGTCAGGAGATGACATTATGCGTCAATATCAAAATTTCAATCAGGTACTCTACTAATTATGATATATTTATGCTTGTATCCTATCTGGTATATCTGAAAGTAAATTATTATACTATTTGCTATTCTATGCCTTATTTGGTATTACATTATAGAGTATAAGAATATGAGTAGTATATTATTGTTGACATCACTTTATGCATTCAGGTTAAATTTGGGAAACATAACAATAAGAGAAAACGCTCAAGCACATTGTATGGAGTTTGGAAGAAAAAAAGTATATTTTTCCAGCTGCCATATTGGAGTACGTTATCGATAAGACATAATCTAGATGTCATGCACATTGAAAAGAATGTTTGCGATAGTATTGTGGGTACCTTGTTAAATCTAGATGGGAAGACAAAGGACAATATTAAATCCCGGTTTGATTTGGAACTCATGAAAATACAGCCTGAACTTCATGCACCTCCAACTGGTGATGGGAAGTTCTTATTTCATCCTGCATGCTATACAATGACACTAGCTGAGAAGAAAGCATTTTGTGAGTTCCTTAGAGAAATAAAAGTGCCAGATGGATACTCTTCAAAAATTTCACACTATGTGGATGCAACAAAAGCTAAAATATCAGGGATGTAGTGTCATGATTGTCATGTATTTTTACACAGATACCTTCCACTTTCTATTCGTGGAGTTCTGCCTGCTGATGTTTGTGAGGCTATAATTGAGCTATGTAGCTTTTTTAGAGAAATTTGTTCCAAGAAATTAGATACTGAAATTCTCAAGAAGCTTGCATCATCAATTGCTGTTACCCTCTGTAAGTTAGAGATGATTTTCCCCCCTTCATTCTTTGATGTAATGTTGCATCTACCAATCCATTTAGCCCAGGAAGCTATTACTGGTGGACCTGTCCAGTATCGGTGGATGTATCCCATTGAAAGGTTTTTGCGAAGGTTGAAGTCTTTTGTAAAAAACAAAGCTCGCCCTGAAGGATCGATAGCTGAGGCATATATTTTGCAAGAATGTGTAAATTTTTGTTCTATGTACCTGCAAGGAGTTGAAACAAGAATCAATCAACCAAGTCGAAACGAGGACGTGCAGAGTGACAACAGCAGTACAAAATTTCAGATATTTGGTACTATTGGCAGGCCACTCCTTGGTAACAAATACTGCCAGATGGATATGAATGAGTTGGAGAAAGCTCGGATATATGTTCTAAAGAATTGTGAAGAAATATCAGAATACGCAGAGTAAACAACTACTACTTACTCTCATTTTCTAATATGTAAATGCTGTCAAAATTTAACATACATGTACATGTCTTGCAGCATTCACAAAGACCAACTTAGCATCCAGAACAGTAAAGGTGTGGAAAAGTGCCATGACAAAGAATTTTTTGTATGGTTCAAGAATCATGTATGTACACGCCATAATAAAAGTATTTTTTTTTAGATTTTACAACTATTTGTAACCTGTATAAACATTCTTCCAGATATTTGAGAAACATTCCAAAGGATCTCCAGATACATCAGAAGAGTTGTTTGCTCTAGCAAGAGGTCCTGATGCTCGAGTAACCCATTACACAAGTTATATGATTAATGGATGGAGATTTAACACCAGGGACCGAGACAAGTTGGTTCAATCACAAAACAGTGGAGTCTTTGTTAAAGGTGATGAAGCCAGTGGAAGCAAAGACTATTTTGGTGTTAATTAAAAGCAACAGCAAAATCGTGCCATCATGGGCATGCCGGGCTAGCTTGTTAAACTGCAGCGACAAATATAATCGAACAAGGTGATCAGAGGCAAAATGAATGAGTGCGTACTAATTGGAGTAACGGTTGTGTCCACGACTCCGGTATATATAAATGTAGCTAGGATTGAGTAATCAGGAGAATGCAGCACCGATGCAGCGAGGCTATAAGTAAACTGAGCGCGTGAACACGGTGCACGTTGAATAGAGGAGGTAGAGTGATTGCACCGACATGCACTGCCAATTATAGGAGTTGATCACACAACATACAAGAGAGCGACAAGGCGCTGTTCCCTGATGAGATCGCGGCAATCGGGGCAGCTGGTTAGCTCTGGCTGTGTTTAGTTCACACCAAAATTGAATGTTTGGTTGAAATTGGAACGATGTGACGGAAAAGTTGGAAGTTTATGTGTAGAAAAGTTTTGATGTGATGAAAAAGCTGGAAGTTTGAAAAAAAACTTTGGAACTAAACACGGCCTCTAGCTAGCGCGGATTTTGACGTAATTGCAAGGCGAACTCTTGATCGATCGATCTATTGTCACACGTGAGTATCATCTCATCGCTGTGTCTCTACGCATCCGTGGCGGTGCCGTGTCTATCTAGAGGCAAGCTTTGCACCAGGCCACCAGTATGTTTTTTTCAAATGTGTTCTGTGGTTTCCATAGGCAGCGAGCCACAATTTACCACACCTCTTTGCACTACTACAAAAGTTGAGTGTTGCCGGTTGGTAATCGGACATAGGAGCCGGATTTTTCTAACTGACACCTAGCAAGCGGCCCCTTTGAGAAGGGCTCAAAGATACCCGTTTAGGAACCAACACATTTAAAATATCAGTAATAGAAAAAAAGAATGGTCAGCTCAAGTCGAGCCGATGAATCGAGTAGCTCCCCTTCACCCCGACCAGATTCCATCACCCCATTGCCCCTTATTTTGATTTAACATCCAAGAACACATTTTAACATTCATGTATCAACATCCAACAACACAGTGAATACAGAGAAAGAGGAGGGATGGAGCTTCTCCGGCGACGAGCGTGGTGCCGGATGCAGTCCTTGAGCTCGAGCCCATTGGATATGGTTATATATGGTGCCAGCGCCAGCACCGTTGATGCTCGCGGATGGGGAGGACACCGCCGAATCTCACGAGTGGGGAGGGCGCTACTACTGCAGCTCGCGGGTGGGAAGGGAGAGAGCGGCAGCGCGGAAAGGGCTCAGCGGCGCAAGGAAGGAGGCAGCGGCAACAAAGCAGGGAAAGGGGCATCGATGGTTCTTGACGGTAGAGCCGCAGGACACGGGGCAGCGAGGTGGGGATCCGGCGCCAGCGGGCCTTGTGAGCTGCACGGGAAAGGGGGTGACAAGGAGCGGATCCGGTGCTGACGAGCCTCGGGAAAGTGGATCTACCCCCGCGGGCCTCGGGAGCGACGCGGCGAAGGGGGCGGCAGCGGCGCGGGGATCAGATCCAGCACCGGCCATCCACGCCTCCTTCGGGAGCACGAATCCATCCTGACCTCGTGCTCTATGATGTGATGTGAAAGTTTTGTGATCAATCTATGATGTGGAATTTGTATACTGTGATGTGAATTAGTGGAATATTTGTGCTCCATGCTCTATGATCATAATCAAACCATTTTTGTGGAACTTGTGCTCGTTGATGTGAATTTGGGATTTGGGGATATGGATTTGGGAATGCTGGGCAACATTATGTAGGCATTTTCATTTTTGCTCGCAGCTAGAGGGCAGCTGCATGGGGTATTTTCAATATTTTTTTGCCGTGAAATCGATTATCCCTGACGGCCAGCTTAACACAGCCATATGAAAAATGAATTATCACTGGTGGCTCGCGTGACACAACCGCCAGTGAAAATCAATTGTCACTAGCGGTTGAAGTCTCGCTTGTGAAGACCTTAGATTTTCATTGACCGTTAGTTGCAGACGGTTAGTCTAACTACTAGAAAGGACTGATTTTAGTCACCACGAAAAACCTTTCTTCGTAGCAGTGACTAGCTAGATTGAACCAGGACCAGCTGGTTACTTTGTGTATCTAACATGTGCAAAAAAGCTGTTTGACAAAGCTAAATAGTTTGGCGATCATGCCCAAGCTTGAAGTAAAGCCCATTCAACAGTAGGATGTTATTGCCATTATGAATTTTGCGTCATATTGGTGTCAACTCCGAAAGACGTATTGTAAATCACATTTTGTCACTTTAAGTTTATGCCACATATATTGGGTTTGCTTTGCTATTTCCATCATCAGCTCCCACACGCTCACTACTCTTAAATATATATCTGGCATTACACAACAACCTTTGGAATGGCATGTTTCTTGAAAAATACAAAATTGTCCCTGTCTTAAATGTTGGTCTCTCTGTTTTTTAAAAATGATTTTTGCATAGAAATTCACTATATATATATATAGTAAAAGAATTAGTACACAACAGAAGAACCATATATATGCTTATCTGTTCACATAAAGAAAGATATTCGGTTATATGCACGATTGTTGCAAAATATTCTCTCCGTCCCATAAAAAACCAACCTAGAACAGATGTGATGTTTTCTACGATTCAGATTCATCGTGCTAGAAATCATCACATCATGTTCTAGTTTAACTTTTTGTATAGGGCGGAGGGAAGCCCGGCCCAGCTAGCTAGCTACCCTTGAATGTTGCATAAATATTTACACCACTGCAAGCGGTAGTACTAGAACACATAATGGCCTTAATAAGCAACGAGCCAAACGATGTATAGGCATCTCTCTCCTTCGTGTAATTAGAACTCAGAGACCCGCGCAAACAGCTGATCATATATAGAAACTAGAGAGAGATAGACGAGGAAATGGAGCATCTTGATCGACAATCAATCCGATATGTTAGAGTATTACAGGCGCCCTGATCACAATGGCGATATGCATACAAATAGTATAGGGATGGAAGGTATTGGGAGCTGAAACTGAAAGCACCGTTTCATAATACAACCCGGCACCTCTTGCTCTTTTCACGATGGCGCGTGCTAGGAGACGAGCCATAGAATCGTTGGTCCCGCTAGTTAGCGGAGAGGCGCTGAAAGCAAATGATGGCAAAATACCACACGGTTGAACAAGAGCAAGTAATGGAAGTTCAGTATCTCATGGAGAGCATGCGGGTTGTCGCAGTAACGTGCGCAGTGGGCGATGTTTGGGCTTGTGGCTGCAGATCAGCAAATTCAGTTTGTTTGGTTTTATGCCAATATTGTTTGCCTTGCCTATTTTGTGCAGTTATTAGCGAGATTTAGATGTTACCAAAAATTTTGCAAAGGTGCTTTGTTTGGATTGCTTCCAAATTTTTATCTCTACTAGAAAAATACCCGTGCGTTGCAACGGGTAAAAAAAGAATAATATGATTCTATTTATGAAGAAAGAAAATTAAGATATATATACCAATTTCATTTATACTTTGAAGATATGTTTTATAAGAACTACTTGTGTGTGCGCGCGCGTATAATCTAAAGATTATATATGTTAATGTCAAAAAAAAATCTAGCTCCATGTAAAATTGAGTTCGAAAATTAATTCGCTAGTTTACATGGTACATAATCTTTTAGGGTGTGATCTATACTATCTTCTTAACTTTTACTCTATCGATTTTCATGCACACGTTTCTTCAAACTTCTAAATGTGCGAACTTAAAAAAAATATGGTAAGTATAGATGATTATGGTTCAAACAGTAGTAGGGAGGGCAGCACCGGTTTGACGTGGATGTCAACTGTTTGGATTTGTGGCAGTTATTTTGGATAGTCGTCGTTATTTTATCTTATGGGGGTCATCTAGCCAGGCATAGTCGTCAAAGCGTGTCTTTTTTGTTAAACTCAATAAGATTGAACATATGCCACTTGAATGGTGATTGTTAAGAGTGATGAAAGGGGGTGCATCTTGCCATCTTAATTGGTTGTCATGCGCCACTCGATTATAGGGCCCGTATGACGCGGCAATGACCAAATCCGATCGCATTGGGCGGCTAGGATCTGCCGTACGTGCCCTCCCGTCTATTCCGGCGCCCGATCGAGTGAGCGAGCGCCGCACGGATCAACAACAGCGTTCGACGCGCCAGCGGGTGGCAAACGCATGCATGCCGCCCGTCGATCGGCCCGTGCCTTCGGCGATTCCCCATCGACTGGGCGCCCTTTTCATTTAAAGGGTACCGTTTCCGATCGTACCGTTTTTAGCTATTTTTTATTTTGTTTTTTCTAATTTTTTTCATCATATTAATGTCGATACTGAGGAGTTTAATGATAAATATGATCAATTACCGGCCGATCGAGGATCGTTTCCATAGGGATGCTATCGATTCCGACCGTTTCCGATCGTTTTCACCCTTACATTGTCCTCCACCAGCGAGAGATGAAAACATGACGAGCGGCGGCTGTGAATGGGTAGAAACCGAGCATGCTGTAGCTGTTTGTTGCACTTATGGGCAGTCGAATGCGCTACAAACGGCGATCCAAAGTTGGACGTCCCTCTAACATATAAGCCTCTACGCCAGAGGATCTCCTTCCTATCCATGCATATCCTCTGAGAAAAAGCCCTCCATTGTATTGGTTCCACTCAACTTGTGCTTATCATATTTGAAACTTGCTAGAATTTTTCATGTCTAACATATGATCAAGTTGCTTGTATCAGTACATCATTAAGGAAGCAAGATGCAATATTCCGCATCTCAGCAATTAACAGTTCTCCGGACATTTTTTTTTTTGGAAAAGTACATATTTGATCCGTCGACTATGGTCCTTCGATTTTAGTCCACTAACTATAAAAACTGGTTACCCGCAACAAAACAAAAATATAAACTAGTTACAATTGGTTACCATCCATATATATTTAATTCCCGAGCTTAAATGAGGAGTGCTTTTTTACTTACATGACATCACATGGCATCAGTTAGTTAATTAAAATAAGGGTGTGGAGAGAGAGGAAAAGAAGATCAGATAGACAAGTAGGTTGTAGTATATTCTTCACTTTTATATTTATTGCGCTATTATATACTAGGGATTAATATGTTGGGCCTGTTTGGCACAGCTACAGCTCCAGCTCCACCCCTCCTGGAGCTGGAGCTCAGCCAAACAGTTTTAGCTCCACCAAAATTGGGAGTGGAGTTGGATGGAGCTATCTCACAAAATATACTAGAGTTGTGGAGCTGGGTTTAGATAGCTCAACAACTCCACTCCAGACTCAACTCCTGAAGTAATATTTAGGAGTTGGAGCTGTACCAAATAGCCCCGTTGATTCATCACTATTCCAACTAGAATCAGGCTAACGAGTACATCATAAATCCACTAGAGCCTGTCGTGAGTGCATCTCTCGAATACATCATGCATCCACTGGGAACCTGTCGCGGGTGCATCTCATGTGAATTTTTAGAATGTTGTTGTTGCCATGTTACTTGAATGGTGGCGCTGCCTTTAAAAATCACAATCAGGGCAGTGCTCCTATATGACATGGTTCACTGAAAACAAGGCAGCTAAGTAGTGCTGATGATTCTTGAGGGTAAAAAAAAAACAAAACAGTAGAATAGAAAGAAACAAATTGTACATTCTAGATGGGATATGGGAGACTTGCATGATGATTTCACCATGGATGGTTTATATGCATGGGGATTTGACCAAGTATATATAGAAAAAAAATGAATTTTCATCAAATAAGAGTTGATGGCTTGAGGTTCAGCAATTATCCACCATTAGAGATGACAGGTACTTTCACTAAGGTAGAGATGGAAAATCTCTATAGAAGCACATCACAAATAATCACCCCTTACCAAACACTTGTAGAGTTGTAGGACACAACAACAATGCAAAAAACTTCGATTTTTCATTTCCTAGTCCAAGGACCACATAAAAAAACCTGCAGTTGATAGCATAGAGCCAAAGTATGCACACTCCTAGAGTTAAATTGGCTGGCACAAAGGACTGCTATTTCTAGAAATCTGACAACCAATTTACGGAACAAATATCTTCACGGAATTAAGTCCACCAAATGGGTGAAAACTTTAATCCCGAATAAGATTGGAAAAGGGCATCGACATGTTCTGCAAATATTTTTTTCTCTAGTTTCCATATCTGTCCAACAAACTAATTTTACAAAATAAAGAAGAGCCTACTTTTGACGTGCTCTACCTTGTTGTTGGTGACAAGCCACAAACTGCTGAGATGCTAAACTAACCTTATACTTACAGCTTTCTGCTTTATCCACTTGCAACTATAAGTATAAAATAGCGCAACCAGAGAATTAGTGAATAATATTCAAGAAACCATTGTGACAAAAAGAATCATCATTGTTGTTGCAGACTTGCAGTATAAACTTTGAACTCCCCGAAGGCTATGGAAGTGAGCAATTACAACAGGAGGTATAGTACCATTTTATCCCCAACACTCACATGCTCTTTTCTAGCTGTTCAGACGCTGTAGACTAATCATCAAGATTTTGACAATCATCAAACTTCGAACAAAGTGCAAATATTTCATCAATCAAATTTGTAAAAAAAATAAAAGAAAAGTGTTTATCATTTACCATGATATCGACGAATCGGTCAGTAGTTGGCTCTGGTTCAACATTAGCCCCTGCAATTGAGAGGGATAACTTGCTTCCAGCAATCAGAGGCACCTGCATCTGCATATCAAATAAAAAGGTACAAAATCATTGAGTTGTTGAACAGCAAACTGCAGTAGTGCACCACTAACATCATTCATCGAGTACATGGGAGCATATTTCTTTCCATTTTCTTCTGGGTTTACTCCCTTTGCAATGGCCTTGATCTTTGAAAATGAAGCATCCGTTGCAACATCACAGTGAGATGTTGAAATCCATTAGAACTGCACCAAAGCCATAGAATGTAAACTTACAGCAAGTAGTTTGTTAAGACAGCTTCCATCACAGACGGATCCAAGCTACTTAGGTCTGCAAAACACCACCAAAAATTTTGATGTCCACACGAACACGCACATACAGACATGAAACCCCAATCTCACACAAGAAACCCTCAAGAAAAACAACTTTCATGCTTCAGACTCTCCCGGGCGATCTCATTCCCTGCTTGCGCCAGGGACACGAGCTGCGGTTTGCACCTTTGCAACAGCAAAAAATAATCAAAACACGCAGCCGCATCCTTTTTAATCTGGAGACATTAAAAAATAGATTCTGCATACAGAAGTTCAAAGTCATTAAGTAGGTATAGGGATTGGAGCTCGGCAAAACTCGGTTCAATTCAGTCCATGGATAATCCTAAGAAGTACCCAGGAGAAGCTGACCCAAGAAACTTGATCTATCATTCACAACAAAGACTGCCTTTTCTGCCCAAATTGCAGCTAGCCGAGGAATACCATCTAGCAGTCCTAATTTTCTGTCATGCCGTAACAAAAAGAATCAGGGCTACACTTTCAAACCCCCCAAATCAATATATGCCCCTCCCCCCATCCAAAAAAAAAAAAATCCTCACTGAACAGCACAAAATCTGCAGCTCTAAATATAGTTTAATGCCAACCCAACACAACTCATTATTCCAAATAGAGGCTACATCAGATTCACATAGGAGTAAGTAGCATTTGCATGAGAATAAACAGGGAATCTAAAGGAGAGTAGGATCCAATACCTCAGTGAGGTCTTGAACGTAGTATCCGAAGGACCAGTTCCTAAGCATCTTGAAGAAGGTGTGGTGGTAATTGTTCTTACCACGTCATGAGGTCGTTGTGCTTTCCACAGCACGCATGGACTTCTGGGCCAGTTCGCCAACCACTCAAACAAGTGGCGAACCTATGAAAAAAAAAAATTACCTGGGGTCCACTACATAGTAGTTATCTAATTATTCACTACTCCCTCCGTCCCACAATATAAGGGATTTTGAGTTTTTACATGCAACGTTTGACCACTCGTCTTATTTAATTTTTTTTTTGCAAGTATAAAAAACAAAAAGTTGTGCTTAAAATACTGTAGATAATAAAGTGAGTCACAAATAAAATAAATAATAATTTTAAAAATTTTTGAATAAGACGAGTAGTCAAACGTTGAAAGCAAAAAACTCAAAATCCCTTATATTATGGGACGGAGGGAGTAGTATACTAATCAAAATAGCATAAATTAGTTAGAATTTAACAATTTTACCCGGTGTCCTGTGACACTGGTAAGTTGTATGTGGGCACGCCACTGACTCTAACGACACCGAATTTGTTATATATTTATCGACAAATTTTCCTTCAAAAATTTGATAGATATAATTACAGTATAATCGTAGTGTAATTATACTGTAACTATAATGTAACTTGTATATATGTAACTTTCAAAAATCTCTCCGTAACATGTTATTTCGGTAAAATGGAAGTCGTGGGAACAAATCTTTTCACATATATGTGTGCTGTGATTTTTTTCTTCCTCACTAGAACAATTCAAAATTACGTGAAACTTACATACAAGTTACACTGTATTTACATTCAAGTTACAGTGTAATTACATACAAGTTATAATGTAATTACACTACGATTGTACTATAATTATATCTGTCAAATTTTTAGGAGAAAATATGTCGATAAATATGTAGGTGGTCCCGGAGAGGAGAGAAGATCACAGTGTGGATTGTGGAAAGCCAGAAACGACGGGGAGGCAAAGGGCAGATGGCGTGGAACCTGAATTGAGATTCCTCTAACTTCTCAATAACTTGTGTCACTGACATGTGGACCATCTATCCAATGGGTCCGCATGTTAGTGACTCAAAGTCAGAGGATCCCCGATCACGTGATTTCAGGATGGGGATCTCCCACGCGAGAAAGAGAGAAACGATCTGGAGTGTTGTATAGATCTGAACCGTTAAGTGATGAATGTAAGAGTGTAAGAATGAAAGATGAGTAAATTGAGTTGGAGTATTATAGTAAGGTAGGGTAGATAGAAGAGGAAGATAGATAGATAGATACATGTAGTCAAGATAAATTTACGGATGAAAGAGGGAAAAACTTAGATATGCAAAAAAAAAAAAATGTTAAGAGCAATGAGTACAAAACAGTAGTACTGTCTCTAGAAAAAAAAATCAAATTCAGAGATATTAAAAGAAACCGAAGGGTAATGTTAGTTTGCTCTTTGTTGACGATAACTTGAGGCTAGAGGTTCTGGCAGCATCAATGATGCTCTGGTAGCAACTGTACCATGGAACATACGATTGGTAGAAACAGAAGCAGGGCCTGGAGAAATGGAGATGACAAGCAAACTGCAAAAATAACCATTTCAAATGTGCTATCGATGGTGTTTTTTCTATATATTTCCTGAAACAATCATCCAACCGTTTTTGCTTCACTGGTGGAGAAACCATCTTTCGTCGGTCGGCTGAATTCCACAATAGTCTCGGATGCAATAAAAACCAGGGCTAAAGATAATCTTTAGTCCCGGTTAAAAAGGGTAACGGGCATATTTGATCTTTAGTCCCGGTAGATCATCTTTAGTCCCGGTTCAAATGCTGTCAGGGCCTGTCAGGCCCCCACCAACCGGGACTAAAGATCGTAACTTTAGTCCCGGTTGGTAATACCAACCGGGACTAAGGATCTCGGGGATCTTTAGCCCTGGTTGGTAACACCAACCGGGACTAAAGTCTCACCCCTATATATATGTCTTCTTCCTCGTCCAGCTGCCCGAGCAAACTTCAAAATTTCTTCAAAAAAGAGGGGAGGTCATGCCAAAATTTCTAGTGAATTTATTTTGGTGATTACATACAAATCGGAGGTGCCTAAAAGGTTTGCAACTTCATCCTCCAATGTTTTTTTTGTCATATTACATTTGCAGCTATGTTTTGCACACTTTTTTGTCTCCAAAATTTAGTTGTAAGTTGATGAGAGAGAAAATTTGTGTGGGGAAGAAATAATATATAGAAATTTAGTTGATTTGCTAAAGAAGGTTTTATAAAATAGTTGAGAAAGAAAATATAGTGAAAGTTAATCTTAAATAATAGAAAACAAACTAAAATGAAAATTAAAAGAAGTAAAACACATTAAAATTTGTTTAAAACTTTAGAAATAGTAAATAAGAATTATTTGGTGTAATATTTTATGATTTTTGTATGAATAAAGATATGTCATTATTGTATAACTGTTGAAAGAGTTTGTAATTATCTTATAATTATTGTATGACTGTCATTATTGTAAGAATAATTATTTGTGTACGATTTTTTTTCGACTCATGTAGATGGATCGGCAATGGATGTACGCTGACCGGCGGTCCAAAGAGTTTATTGACGGCGCGCACTATTTTTTGAGAGTGGCCGAAGCTAACAGGCAAAGGGGTTTTATTTGTTGTCCATGCAATAAGTGTAAGAATCAGAAGGAGTATTCTGCATCCAGGACTATTCATTTCCACTTGTTTGAGTCGGGGTTCAGGCCAAGCTATAATTGTTGGACATCCCACGGAGAGCAAGGTGTTGAAATGGAAGAAGATGAAGTGGAAGACGACAATATTCCGGACTTTGCTCAGTACGTTGGATTTGGAGGAAATCAAACGGGCGAGGAGGAAAGGGATGCGGATGGTAACGACGTTGCGGATGATCTTGGTCAGATGTTATAGGACGCCAAGGAGGACTGCGAAAGTGAAAAGGGGGCCCATAAATTGGACAAGATGTTAGAGGACCATAGAACGTCGTTGTACCCAGGTTGCGAGCAGGGGCACAAAAAGTTGGATACCACTCTGGAGTTCTTGCAATGGAAGGCAAAAAATGGGGTTAGTGACAAGGCATTTGGTGATTTATTGAAACTCGTCAAGAACATTCTTCCGGAGGGAAACAAATTGCCCGAGACAACGTACAAGGCTAAGAAGATAGTCTGCCCGCTAGGACTGGAAGTTCAGAAGATTCACGCATGTCTGAATGATTGTATCCTATATCGCGGTGAGGAGTACGAGAACCTAGAAGCATGCCCTGTTTGCAAAGCACTACGATACAAGATTAGACGAGACGATCCAAGAGAAGTTGACGGGCAGCTAACAAAGAAGAGAATTCCTGCTAAGGTGATGTGGTATTTCCCTATAATACCACGGCTAAGGCGTTTGTTCAGGAACAAGGGGAATGCTAGAATGATGCGATGGCACGCTGAAGAGCGTCAACAGGACGGGATGCTGAGACACCCCGCCGATGGTTCGCAGTGGCGAAACATCGACAGAAAATTTAAAGAATTTGGAAAGGACGCACGAAACATACGGTTTGGTTTGAGTACGGATGGCATGAATCCTTTTGGAGAGATGAGCAGCGGCCATAGCACTTGGCCCGTTACGATGTGTATCTACAACCTCCCCCTGGCTATGCATGAAGAGGAAGTACATAATGATGCCGATTATTATTCAAGGCCCCAAGCAACCCGGTAACGACATCGATGTGTACCTAAGACCACTGGTCGAAGATCTTAAACTGTTGTGGAAGAAGGAAGGTGTCCCCGTGTGGGACGAGGACAAACAGGAGGAGTTTAACTTACGAGCGCTGCTGTTCGTAACCATCAACGATTGGCCTGCACTTAGCAACCTATCCGGACAGTCCAACAAGGTGTACAAGGCTTGCACTCACTGTATGGATGAAACAGAAAGTACGTATCTTAAGCACTGTAGGAAGGTTGTATACATGGGTCATCATCGATTCCTTGCAGCAAACCACCCGGTACGGAAGAAAGGCAAGCACTTCGAACATAAGGTTGACCACCGTACGAAGCCTAAACATCGCAGCGGGAAAACAGTGTTTGCTATGGTTAAAGATCTTAAAGTAGTGTTCGGAAAGGGGCCTGGAAGCCAGCCTATAGAGAGCGAAGATGGTCACACGGCGATGTGGAAAAAGAACTCTATATTTTGGGAGTTACCCTATTGGGAATTCTTGAACGTCCGCCACGCAATCGACGTGATGCACCTCACTAAGAACCTTTGCGTAAACATTCTTGGCTTCCTAGGTGTATACGGAAAGTCGAAAGATACACTGGAAGCACGTAATGATCTGAAGCATATGAAACAACGCGGCGACCTTCACCCGGAACCAAAGGAGAAAGGAAGCCATTACTTGCGTCCAGCCAGCTACACTCTTAGCAAGGCAGAGAAGGAAAGTATGTTTGAATGCTTGGAGAGCATAAAGGTACCGTCTGGATACTCCACGAATATCAAGCGAATAATAAGCACGAAGGAGAAGAAGTTCACAAATCTAAAGTCTCATGACTGTCACGTGTTGATGACACAACTGCTACCAGTTGTAATAAGGGGTATCCTTCCAGACAATGTCCGGGCAACAATAACAAAGCTATGTGCATTCATGAACGCAATTTCGCAGAAGGTCATCGATCCGGATAGATTAGAAGCCCTTCAGAATGATGTGGTGCAATGTCTCGTCAGTTTTGAGTTGATATTTCCACCTTCATTTTTCAATATAATGACACATCTGCTTTGTCACCTTGTCAAAGAGATCAGTATTCTCGGGCCTGTGTACCTACACAACATGTTTCCTTTCGAGAGGTACATGGGCGTTCTGAAGAAGTATGTTTGTAACCGTGCTCATCCAGAGACAAGCATCGCCAAGGGATATGGAACAGAGGAGGTCATCGAATTTTCCGTAGAATTTATCGAAGACCATCGCCCAATCGGGGTACCTGAATCACGCCATGAAGGGAGACTACGGGAAAAGGGAACTCTCGGAAGGAAAGCAATAATGACGGTAGACAACAATTTATTCCGTAAAGCCCATTTCACGGTTCTGCAACAATCTTCATTGGTAGCTCCTTACATTGAGGAGCACTTGGCTCTAGTTCACGCCAGGAACATCGGTAAGTCCGATGCATGGATTACACGGCATCACATTGATACTTTCCCCGCA